TCTTATTAATATAGTTTATTAGATTTTGATGAACGCTTGTTTTTAATTTGTGTTCACGAATTTGTACGAACAAACTACGATAGAGTGGTGCAAACGCACCTTCTTCTTTTTTTCCACATTCAAATTACTTCACTGCTAACTTCTGATAGCCTAATTAAGATTTTGACTTAATATTTCATGAGGGGGCGGGAGCGGTCACGGAGCTTTAGTAAATGGCAGACAATTCTTCCTGCATTTTTTAGACAAAAACGTTTGGGGCGCCTAATCTCCTCGCATGGGAAAGGTTGCTTCCGAGCACACACGCGCATGCACGTACACCTAATATATTTGTAATTATTTAAATACTGAATCTTACTCTCCCCCCTCCCCTTTTGTTTACTGGTCGAAATATAATGCTGCTAAAAAAATTAAACCCGTTTACAACTCCCTGTAACGCCGAATTACAGGGTGATTCAAGGAGACGCCAGGCTCTTTAAATCGACCGCAAAAATCGGTTCCTTAACCTATCGCGTTACGACTTTGTGCAGCGTTGCCCACAGATGGTGCATTTTGTTTTTTTGGAAAATTTGCAAAGAGCGAACTTACCCGAGGAAAAAGTAAAGAAAGAAAGAAGCTCAGCTCCTACGGAAACGCCAGCGCGGTCTTCAAACAACACGGCACCGTTTCGCACGGGAGACAAGAGATGGCGCAAGCGGTCGCGACGCGAACTGCCGCCAACGAACGACCATACGACGCCGAGAGCCAGCGTCTTTAGCAGACAAGGAACGGTAGTTCCTTGTCTGCTAAAGACGCTGGCTCTCGGCGTTGTTACCGCCCCTGTTTTTGTTTCTGCCCTTGTCTGGTTGTTACCGCGCCTGTTTTTGTTTCTGCGACTGTAGCCGCCTGTGGAACGCGTGCCGCTTTTGAGTCGAAAAGATTGTCTGCTAAAGACGCCGGCTCTCGGCGCCGTATGCTCGTTCGTTGGCGGCGTTCGTTGCGCCATCTCTTGTCTCCCGTGCGAAACGGCGCCGTGTTGTTTGAAGACCGGTGGCGTCGCTGCGTTTCCATAGGAGCTAAGCCTTTTCCTTTCTTTACTTTTTCCTCAGGTAAGTTCGCTCTTTGCGAATTTTACAAAAAAAAAATGGACCATCTGTGGGCAACGATGCACAAAGTTGTTGCGCTCTAGGTTAAGAAACCAAATTTCGCGGTCGATTTAAAGAGCCTGGCGTCTTCTTGAATCACTCTGTAGAGTGCAGCGCTTGAGGAGGAGGAGGGAAGGATACTCAGGGGAAAGTATGCCCCTCCTCTCTTTCCTTCTCACCTCCCCATCATGCCGCTCCACCCTCCGAGCGGCGTGGGCGTCGCCGTCGCCGTCGGCGTAACCGTGAGGTGAAGTGACCCTCGTGACGTCGCGTGACCCTCGTGACCTTACGGGGGTCACGTGACTTCACGGGGGACACGTGACGTCACGGGGTCACGTGACCTCACGAAGGTCACGTGACCCCCTTCAGGGGAATCAGGGGAGTCACGTTACACCCCTCGGAGGGGTCAGGGAGGTCACGTGACCCCGTGCGAACGTTTCGACACGGTACTGAAACGTCACCATGCCGAAACGTCGCCGCGGGTATGCCGACGACGACGGCGACGCCGCTCAAGCCGGAAACGGTCGCCTAAAAGCTGCGCTTTAAAAATATTAAAAAACGCGCCTCGTAAATGACTGAGAAACGCCCCGGTGCAAGCTGTGTCAGTTGATAAAAAAATATTACATAAGAATAATAACTGGTATGCCAATACTATTGGCGAGTAAGAAAACTGTTTTTCAGCACACGACACGTTTATCGGGTGCAGCTAGTATTCTGACTCTTCTCAACGTCCACCTCTTGAATGGCTATCGGGGTGTCGGGTATTCTTGCCATTGACTGTTACTTTTGTTAAATGCCATGCTAAAAAAAGATATTGAGAAAATCGGCCCCTACTTTCGCCGATAATTTTTTTTTTTCGCGCCATGGAATTTGAAATTACTAAATGGGACATGACGGACTGGGTCATCACTGGACGTGGGGTTTTATAACGCAGTAAATTTGCGTGGCACTTAGCATTTTAAATATAATGATTTCTCAGATTGCATTAGTACATGCCACTAAACGGTAGTTTCTTAACACAGGATCCCTTGTACAGCAGCCCTTAATTATAAGGGCGGAGCTTTGCTCCTCATGAGTAAATCCTCCCTGGAGATTTTCTATTCTAACAGAATAAAGTTCTCATTACCCTGGGGTTTTTTTGCACATACGTACCACATAATCACAATTACAATGAGCAAATACTGCGAGCCGATGCACGTATAAATAAGCTTAGATATTCATACATAAAGACATATGCCCAAACCTACTCGAACATGTTCAGATTGCCATATAATGACATGTTTATATACAAATGAACGTTCCCACACAACTATACTCCAGCTTTCAAACATCTGCAGTGGAGACAAAGGCATGGGCAGAAGCGCGTGGCTTTGGAAAGTGCCTTCTATGCACGCGTTCTCGTACAAACAAAAGCACTGTGTCAAACTAGGCTTGCATACCTTTACGTTTACTGCAGACATTTAGATGATGGAGTATAAATGTGCTGACATGGTATGACCAACAAATGGATCACGGAAGATCTCATGCCACCCTACTCCAGAATACCGACCTCTTCCTTAATGCCTCTTTGTGTACGCAAATGTCTGCGGGCATGCCCGCTGGCCTATCCGTAGTACGTGTGCGAACAAGTCCCTAGATGTTCACCCATCGGCATAAACGTAATATTAATGTTAAAGCAGGTGTACAAATGTGAGAGAAAACAATTTGTCTTACCATTAAAGCTACTAAATATTCCATTTAAAAATCGGAATTCTAGTCTGCATGCACAGGGACGAAATTGTTCACAGAGGGTGGGCTCAAAAAAAAATAATTTGATGGCCTAGTTGGTTGAACATTCCTCTCATAAAACGCCAGTTGTAAGTAGCGCTCTGTCCTGTCTTCTCTTTCTTTCGTGTGTTCGTCTCCTTTCGCGCTAATTGTGTGTACAACGGTGGGATCAGAGTTGGATGTTAACGCACACGATGAGGTTCGATATTGGTTATCTGCCAAGGAGATTATGAAAATGTCTCGCAATCTGGAAATATCTCAAGACACAGAGAGGGGCTGGCCTGAGATAGCAGGCAAGATATAATGGTACAGTTTCTTGTTCCCTGAGCAGGTTTATATGGAGGTTTGTTGACTTCAGCAGAAACAAAATCATTAAATGTCGCTTGGGGGCTGACGACATACGCGCAAGCTTCGCGCGACCACATAAGTTAGATTTTTTTTTTATGAAAGCCAATGTAACAAGTGAAGTCGTATAAACGACTAACCGCAGTGAGCAGAAATTGTGTCGTGTACGACAAACGTCCTGTACATTGTGGACAAACCTTTTGAACTGTATGTAGTGGCAGTGGAGACCACCAGTCGAGCCTTGGTGGACTTCCGGGAAGTGACTCGTAACCAATCACTGCGGTGATGCCAATAGCCGAGCACTACCAATTTGGGAAGGGCAGCATTACCCACCATAGAGTGCGTGATCGGTGGCAATCATAAAACATTTCTGTTTATAAAATGCGCTGCACCTTCATTAACGCTGCTCCTGTGAGCTTGTGTGTTGATCGTGCGGTTCCATTACTCGTGCTGTCCCACAAACTAGACACTAGATTAAACCACACGTTCTTGCCGCTAGTTCTGACATCGCTGTGGACTAGTTATTTCACTGAATATAGCTGCATGTTGAGGGCGCGAATGCTGCGCTTTTCGTTAATCTCTCACTGCTAATAATTAAAAACAAAACCAATTCGGGTTTAGCAGGCAAAATGCCAATGATTTGTGATTATCAATATTGGACAAAAGTAAATATCATTTCATACCTCTCTGAATGAAATATAGGAACATATAGTCTGCAATTTTTTAATAAAGATCAATAACAAAGTAAACTGCTGTATGCTAATAAATACCCGTAGCAGCCTTTAAACACAATTCCGAAAAAATCCTGAATTTCGGGCGCACAAAGATCTATGCGTAGTTTTTTCTTCAGAGCTCTAGGCTGGAATTGAGTTGAGTATTGAGTTGAGTATACGGGGGAATCGGCACAGTTTGCACCCGGCTCCTATTTTAATCTGGGCTTCAAAATCAGCGACCGTGATTAAGACGAGTGCACTCAAAATAACAACTTAGACCCTTGGGCGTACCGACGTGGCCCCCGTTATTCACCTTAAAATTACGGAACGCCTCGCCTATGTCTGTGCCTCTCATTTAACATAGGAGCAGGCGAGTCGAGCAGGAGAGCCCAGTATCCCCTCTCATCACCCCGTCGCGAAGCAGCGACCGAAGGCAAAGGCCACGGCTAGCCGCCGTGAAGCGAGCCTAAACCCTTTGGCGCCGTTTCGTCCTTTTCAATCACTCGTAGAAAACCAGCCGTGCCAGCTAACAACGTTGTTGTGAAGCGAGCGTTGACTTGACTTCCAAGAAATTATTTGCAGAAGTTACATGACCCGCTTTTTCTCGATGTTCCTCCTAAAATTCACCAGCCTATGGCGCCTCAGGGACCTCATGCCTCGCCAAACTTATGAACTCACCGACCTTATTAACTCACGCCATTCAACGAACTCATAAACGCACCTAACTCATGGACTGTCGCCATTCACTGAGCTTATTAACTCTCCGAAACCGTGAACTCACCAGCCTCATAAATTCACACCCCTAACCGAAATCATGGACTTACCAAACTCGCGCACCTCACCAAACTCACGCGATTCACTCAACCTCAAACTTATGAGTTTTCGACGTTTACGAACTCATTCACCCTCACATCACGGCTGATCGGAGATGGCGAGGAAGATGAGTGAGTGAGCTTTGCTGATGTACCGCGGCAGCCTACTTATGTTTATTTGTGCCCACTAAGACCCCCTAAATAAATCGCGTGTAAAATTGCAATTCTTAGACACAACTTACGTCTTTCCTAGCAAACGTGCTGAATTTTTTTTCGATGTAAAGCCTTCCGGCGGGGTGGTCCATAACGCCAGATAGCCCGACAATGTTGTTCATACAGCGCATCCACTGAGGATCGTCTTCCTTGGCTCCTGTTGTGATGCTTCGCACGTCAAAAAGCATCTCTTGAAACTCCGGCAGAGCGAGTGGAGCTAATTTTTGTATTACCGCCAACATAAGGGAGTTGTACACTGTAGACCTGAATCAAAATGACAAATGTGAAACTCGGTTATGCAAAGCACTGAGATAACCTCAAACATGGAACTGCAAAAGAAAAAAAAAATGCGTACACATTTTGTTTTAATACGATTTTCGGGTCACAGCTTGAAACAATTATGAATAAAAGGACCTCATTTTGAGGCATTTCATTCTAGAAGATCTGAACTGCATGCTTTGTCAAGGGTTTAATTGTGAAATTTAGTTTATTAAGTCGTCCTCTGGAAGAACATTTTTCCTGGGATGTTTCAAGTGCGAACCCGTAGTTCTGTTCCGCTTTCAACAATAACGCTTCGGTTCACTTCAGATGGAGGGAAACGAACAGCAATGCCTAGACTCGAAGAATATGTGACAAATTTTCATAGTGTTGATTCATGCTAACGAGATGCGTAAAAATTCACCAATTTTTGACATTTTAGTCCCAAAAACGAAGTAGTGATATATTAGGAAGCACACGGGTATATATATCAAACTATCAGTGAAAGTGGATCTTCAATTGCTGTTAGAAAGACGCTCGTAAAAAAACAAATGCCAACAGACGCTCAGACAACAGACGCTCCGGATCTACGAGTTCCACTCATAGATCCGGAGCGCTTTCCAAAATCCGTGAGGGAGGCAAAATTCTGCTTCGTGGGGCCGCTTCGAATCGACGACGGGAAAATAAACTGGCATTTTCGGAGCGACCTCCCCCACACTCTCTCCCCCGCTTCCCCCTCCGCTGTTCAAAATGGCCGCTGCTCGAATTTCACAAGCCCACCAACGCCTCAGCCGACTGATCTTTACGACGACCAGAGACAACTGTCACTGCTTAGCTGCATAAATAACATGCGACACAGGCCGGGCGAAATTATACGTACCACGGCGCCCATGTCAGAAATAACGGGAGACACTCACTTGACCGAATGACGTTTTAGCGAACGCCCACGTTTCACCGAATGACACTTTAGCGAATAGTCGGACGCGGCGAAGCGTTGTTTTCTGGAGGGCCAAGTGGGTTCACATTTTTTTGTAATGAGCCGCCATAGACCGTCGCCGCGAAGCGCCGTAAGCGCAGCGCGGGGGTCGGGTTAACGCCCGCCTCCGTTATTCGCTCAAATGCCACTGTTCGCTATAACGTCATTGTGATATGGACCCAAAATAACGAAGAAGACGTTCGCGTTCGGCACCGTCACATACCTTTCGGCCGCCTCGAAGCGGTGGTGCACGCATAGCGATCGCCATCGGTGGAGATCAGATTTCTGGTGCGACTTTAATGAACACAGAGGTAACAAACCATCACTTGCACGGTCGTTGCTTAATCTGTTCTTGCTCTATTGCACGGGAAAACGCCGGTGGAATGCGGTGTAAAAAGGTAAACAATCATCGGCTGCAGAATGAACAGGCCTAACCTTGCGTCTGTCTCCGGATTTTCTGTCGTTCTTTTTCTCGTTCTTCCTCTCACGATTACAGATGTCAGCGCTTACGATTTTCCACGTTCCAGCCCCGACTTTGTATCCCTGATCTACGCGAAGTAGAAGCGTGCGAGCCGTCCCAATCCCGCGCAAACAATAAATCCAAGATTAACTCTCGAATTCCTTTGCACAAAAATCTTAATAATTATATCCCACAGTGACTACATGGCCAACGTCGCTGAAAGCACACGTGTTAAAATGTGGAATGAAAATCTCATCTCTATTTTGCATTCTCATAATAAAGTTACCAGCGTTAAGAATGTGTTTCTTTCATCGGCAAACTCAAAGTGGGTAAACTTATTCAATACGTAGTTAAATTTTTGAAACGTGGATATTTATTTGTATAGGTGTTAAACTAGAATGTCGTTTTGTGTGTTTGGGTTGTACGATATATATTTTATGACAGAGCACAGATTGTGTTACCAAATAACATTAATGTTTGTAGATTATTAAATATGTAGATTATGTTTGTAAGTAATACATGAAGCGTATAAAATGTCAACCGTTAAATATTGAGGTGTTTTATTTTGCATAATTTGTGTATGAACTGAATTGTCTATTCGTATTGCATTTATTTTGAATGGATCCGCCACTAACTACTGGCTATGATATGTTTCTTGATCAATATACATATATTGATGTATTATTTGCAATAAAAAATTGAATAAATGAATAAAGTAAATTTAGACAATAAAATTGGCCTAGAATTCTAACGCGGTATCTTTTTAATACTGACATGGACACGCAGGAGCGGACAAAAGACAGAACGGACAACACAACAACGAGAAGGCTAAAATAACGTTTGATGTTGTCTGTGCCGTTTTTGCTCCACCGACGGGTTACCATGTCAAGATTGAACCAGCTCTTTTTGCACTCTTGCTTTAGTTTCAATAACCCTTCCGAAACGGTTTACAACGTTTTCGTGCTTCTATAATATAACATTGAGCAATCTGTCCTTGTTTTCAGCATTCGTCCATAAGTGGCATGAACATATCTTCTTGACTAAATATACAGCATTGAGTATTTTTCTTGGCGTCAAAGGAGTGGGCAATAAGTAGTGTAAGGACATGCAAGAACCACCAGGCGTGTTGTGGCGTGGGGCGACCGCTCGAGCATCATCAAGCCTACTTAAAGGGAAGATGGGGCACTTCTACATTTGAGAAAAAACGCTTAAATTGCGTTCATTTGGCCTTTAGATTAACAGATATCACAATTGTATTTCAATGCGACGCGCCGGAGAGCCATACGAGCAATTTCAAAATAGCACTGAAGCCCCGCCTCCCTAGCCTTGGGCAGCCAAAAGAGCCGTCGATGACGTCACGGACAGCGACTGTCTTTCGCGTTTTTCTCGCGTTTAACAATACTTACGCAGCAAATGGTTTGGGTATTCGGGATCACGGGGTAAAAATACACTAGAATTCACTTCTAACTCATTTTTTCCAAGAAGCTCCGTAGCTTCCCTTTAAACAAACTCTGGTCTACAAAACTTGAAACATCTAAAGCCGCTAGATTTAGCGGGGAAGTTTTTTCGCTAATTTTTAGTGGGGAAATTTTTCCGCTAGATTTAGCGGGGAAAGTTTTCGGCTAGATTTAGTGGGGAAAATGTTCCGCTAGATTTAGCGGGGAAGTTTTTCCGCTAGATTTAGCTGGGAAATTTTTCCGCTAGGTTCAGCGGGGAAAATTTTTCGTTAGATTTAGCGGGAAAATTTTCCGCTAGATTTAACAGGGAAAGTTTTTTGCCAGATTTACCGGAAAAATTTGCCCGCAAGATTTAGCGGGGACATCTTTCCGCTAGATTTAGCGGGGAAATTTTTCCGCTAGATTTACCGGGGAAATTTGGCCGCAAGATTTAGCGGGAAAATTTTTCCGCTGGATTTAGGGGAACATTTTTCCGCTAAACTTAGCGGGGAAATTTTACCGCTAGATTTAGCGGGGAAATTTTTCCGCTGGATTTAGCGGGGAAATTTTTCCGCTAAATTTAGCAGGGAAATTTTTCCGCTAGATTTAGCTGGCAAATTTTTGTGCTAGATTTAGCGGGGAAATTTTTCCGCTGATTTACTGGAAAATTTTTCCGCAAGACTTATCGGGGAATCGTTCCGCTAGATTTACCGGGGAAATTTGCCCGCAAGATTTAGCGGGAAATTTTTCCGCTGAATTTAGCGGTGAAATTGTTCCGCTAAATTTAGCGTGGAAATTTTACCGTCAGATTAAGCGGCGAAATTTTTCCGCTAGATTTAGCGGGGAAATTTTTCCACTAGATTTACCGGGGAAATTTGCCCGCAAGGTTTAGCGGGGAAATTTTTCCGCTGGATTTAGCGGGGAAATTTTTCCGCTAGATTTAGCGAAGAAATTGTTCCGCTAGATTTAGCGGGAAAATTTTTCCACTAGATTTAGCGGGGAAATTTATTCATAGCGCACCGCGCGGTTACACCGACTGCGACACCGCTCAAGCCGGAAACGGGCGCCTAAGAGCTGGGCACTAAAATGTTACTTCTTCCTCCGACAACCAAATCTTGTAAGAACTACTTCGCGCGATGTAGGAGCCATTCCTAGAAGTCGTCGTGAGGTGAAGACGATTATCGTAGCACAGGAGCCGACCAAAGGATCTGCCTACGTGCAATTAAATGGCTCATATTTTGTGAATGATCCTCTGCGTATACTTATGCGGTATATTTTGTGCCATATTTTATTTACGCAGACATCCGACCTAACTCTGTATTGATTGTTGATTGCGTCATTTAAACATTTCATACAGAACGAAACAGGCAGTAAGCTCACTGAGTCCAAAAAAATATACTTATATTTTAGCTAAACAAAGAATTTAGAAATTGCACAAAATTTTAATAGACACCACCCTCGTTTTTTATATAGTCCAAGAACGACGTCACATTTTGCTTTATACGTTAGGGGTACGAATCGCTTCTTTTTTAGTTTCTGGACGACTATCAAGTTATCATACTCATGGTCTCCCACTGCTAGTAATACAAATAAATTTAGTTAATGACACCAAGTTGTATAACTTAAGAAAAAAAACGAATATGAAATTTTTGTTTCGGTTACGCACAGGCAGCGACAAATTTAAATTCGTTATGCTTCGTTGATTTTTTTCACCCGAACAGTCTATTATAAATCGCGCACTAATTATATATCGAGGAAATAATTACCTGCGTGATTTACTCACGAATTCGATTATTGTTCTTACGTAGAGTTCGCCGGCAAGGATTATTGGCTCTTCAGGTTGGAGCTTAATACCAACAGGCTCCAGTATCTTCCCGAAGAAAAGCTCCCAGTCGAGCTACGGCAGTAATAAATCAGGTTTCAGTCAGAAAATATTGAAAGAACAATTTATATAAATAAGACTAAGTTGTAAATGTGTATAAAGTGATAAAGAAGAGTGCTACAACCGTATTTAGTCTTCGTATTTTTCGGATATATCGTGTACTTTAGTTTATTAAAGGCATTGATTCCATTAAATATTTCATATCACGAGCCGTTGGTTATCAAAATCTTTGCGCCTGATAAATCTAGTAAGAGCCAGATTACTGATTCTTTTAAGAATTATGAAGAATTTTCACACAACGTTACAAAACGCGTTGCGTGTTTAATATTGTTAGAATGGTTAGAAACACTTATGAACGCAGTCATCAAATGGTGTCCTTAATACAGTGTCCCAAAGATAAATAGTGGGAGGTCGATCCTAGTTAAAGAGACATATATCTTGCACACAGCCCCCTCACCTTTTCCTTCAATTACACCCAAGGGGGTGCTAACTTCTGACGGTAATTACCTTCAGGCTAAAAAAAAATTCAACAGTAAATCCCATGATAGGCGAGGTTCTGAAACTGAATCTCGACTGGCTAGATTTATCTCCCGTGGTGTTCTCAAAATGTGTACACCACTCAATTATTTTTGTCATTGAATCATTAACGCATCCAGCATCCAATTTGTTACTGCATTGTAACTCAACAGGAATAAGAAGCAATATGACAAAGTGCAGAGGTATTAATTGAACTTACTGAATGCTGTAAATTCTACAGCCTAAAATAAGGTGACTAGCACTCTCAGGTTTCAGATAATTAATCCACCAACCTCTTTCGAAACACTTGTGAGCTGTGCTATCGTCGTTTTGACAAATGGGATTTCAGGTTCAGACATGCTTTCCGCATGCTCACGAATCTGCGTAATAAAAAATAGGTAAGTACGAAAGTTCCATATACGAATTTTTTTTCAATTCCGGTACGTACACAGCTTAACTCTCATTTTAGTTATGTTACTTTAGCGATCAACGATACGATTTATACTTCGCTTCAACGCTTCAGATTAAGTCCAAACTCAGCCGACGATAAAGTAATAATCTTTGTTTTGTTGTGTCCTTAAACAGCACATAGCCTAAATAGTTATGAACAGTTCGTCATTGCAAATTAAATGCAGACAGCCACATAGATTCAACTTTATACACAAATGATTGACTCCAGCGTACGTCGAAAAGTTGTCACGTCACTAAAAATGTCTATAGCAAATTGGTCAAGCCTGTTAAATTCCAGCGATGAATCAACAGTTGTGTTCACAACCTTATGGAAAAACATAAAATCATGTAAACGCCTTCTATCGAGCAAGGTGCGCAACCCTAGTTTCTTAAGTAGTACATTATAGTTGTAGTAACACTTGCGCCCGAAATGCCTGTCATAGATTATGCTTATGAAGCGTCTTTGAACACGCTCAATAGAGCATGATGCAGTGTGGTTGATACAATTCCGAACAATTGAAGCAAACTCCAGCTTTGTACGCACTAAGCAGCAAAACGAACGCGTGAGAAAATCAGGAGAAGAAAATTGCCTCGTAAAACAAAATATCACCCGAGATTACTAAGAGAGAGATTACATATAGTTGAAACATGATTATTAAAATTTAAGGATGAATTAAAAAAATACTCCAAGATCACGAATGACGGACACTCGGGAGATGACACTGCTGTCTATTGTGTAAGGGAAGACAAGTGACTGACGTTTTCTAGACAGTTACATTATTTTTGTATTTTGCTCATTAAGCAAAAGATGGTTCATAGAACACCACCTTGAAATTGCCAACGCGTCGTCCTGAAGAAGTTTGCACTCCGAGTACGAGCGAACACAGCGAAAAAGTTTGATGTCATCAGAAAATAGCAATACCTCAGTTTTTCACGCTATGAGAGATGTCGTTCACAAAAATCAAGAATAAGAGTGGACCAAGGTTGCCTCCTTGGGGCACACCGGAAGGCCACAAAAATTTATCAGACATGAGCCCTGACACACGAACATAATTTTCATGACATGAGAGATAACTTTTAAACCAATGTCAGTACGTTGGACAAAAACCATAACTATCAATTTTGATAAGAAGAATATTGTGATAAACCTTATCGAAGGCCTTCGTCATATCGAAATAAATTGCATCCACTTGTGCATGGTCACGAACAAATGAAACAGTATAATCTAAAAAAGAGCACAGATTAGATTGAACTGACTTGCCCTTCAAAAATCCGGGTTGCTCGGGGTTTATTTTTAGGCTGAAGTAACTGTACAGACGTTTGTGTATTACCATCTAAAAAATATTGGAAAAACTAAACAGTAATGAAACGGGACGGTAGTTGTTTACAATACTAGGATCACCTGATTCATGTATCGGAACAACTACGGCGCTTTTCCAGATAGACGGAAATATTCCTGAACGAAGCGATAAATTAAATATGTGTAATAAGACAGGACACCGAAGCTCCGCACACCTTTTCACAATAGAACTAGGAATGCAATATTTACCACAAGACAACTTAGGTTTCATTTTAAAAATGCTTTCCTTAATTTCAAGTTCGTCAAATGGGGTAAAAGAAAGAAAATCTAATGTGCCTTGGCACGTCGTGCTGCCGTCACTGACTGCCGCAGACGAAAAACAGGATTTAAAATGCACTGCGAACTTATTGGCAATTTTACTTGGATCACATGTGTAACCAGAATCATCTCTTATGGGAACGACATTATGATTTCGCTTCTTTTTTGATGGTACATACTTCCGAAAGTTTTTTTGGATTCGTGTGCATATCGTTCTCAAGTACAGCCGCATGCATACTTTCGTCTTGTTTAAAAAGCCCTTTTGCAAAAGCACGACACTCACTAAATTTGGCGTACCACTTATCCAGTCCAGATTTTTTAAAAAGACGATGATAATGAAGCTTACGTCGCAAGCAACGCCTGAGCTCCCTTGAAAACCATGACGGGTACTTGTGGTACCAAACAATCAGCTAATGGTACCAAACAATCAGCGTCAAAAGCTCAAGTCACTCGACATTTTCATTTTATGATTAGTTCAGCGATGACAGAACACGCAAAAAATCATGAACACCATAACGGTACGTTTTTGACAGTCTCATCTGTCCCATTAGCTTATAGCGTCGGCTCTGTGTGAACTTAAGGTAAAACAAAATATATATGTATATGGTCTTACAGACATTTCGATTAGGCCCGTCATTTCGCATCATTTTAGAAACTGCAAGTAAAAAAGTGAAAGCCGTTTACAACTCCCTGTAACGCCGAATTAGAGCGCAGTTCTTGAGGAGGAGGAGGGAAGGGTACTGGGGGGGTCAAGTGACCTTGGGTGGGGGTCACGTGACCTAGGAGGGTCACGTGACGATGACGATGCCGATGACGTCATCAGTAACGATGACGATGCGGATACCGATGACGTCATCAGTGATGATGAGCATGACGATACGGATGCCGGTGACGTCATCAGTGATGATGACGATGACGATGAGGATGCCGGTGACGTCATCAGTGACGTCACTGATGACGTCATCAGCGATGATGACGATGACGATGCGGATGCAGGTGACGTCATCAGTGATGATGACGATGACGATGCGGATGCCGGTGACGTCATCAGTGACGTCACTGATAACGTCATCAGTGATGATGACGATGACGATGCAGATGCCGGTGACGTCATCAGTGATGATGACGATGACGATGCGGATGCCGGTGACGGCATCAGTGACGTCACTGATGACGTCATCAGCGATGATGACGATGACGATGCGGATGCCGGTGACGTCATCAGTGATGATGACGATGACGATGCGGATGCCGGTGACGTCATCAGTGACGTCACTGATGACGTCATCAGTGATGATGACAATGACGGTGCGGATGCCGGTGACGTCATCAGTGATGATGACAATGACGATGCGGATGCCGGTGACGTCATCAGTGACGTCACTGATGACGTCATCAGCGATGATGACGATGCGGATGCCGGTGACGTCATCAGTGATGATGACGATGCGGATGCCGGTGACGTTATCAGTGACGTCACTGATGACGTCATCGGGGGTCACGTGAGTTGGGGTGTCACGTGACCTTGGGGGTCACGTGACCCTGGGGAAGGGGTCACGTGACCTTGGGGAGTCGCGTGACCCCCGATGACCCTTGGGGAGGGGTCACGTGACCTTGGGATGACCTTGGGGGTCAAGTGACCTTGGTGTTAGCGCCGTCCTCGATGACGACGAAGAGTACCAAAAGAGCGCTCCACGATCCGCGTGACTTAGAGTTCTTTTCTCAGTAGCCATATCTGCCTGACGTATATTAAACGTCCTTTCCTAACCTTCTCTCGGCCGCCCCCGTTTTCAATGTCGAGACCGTAACATCTCAGAAGTGGGATAGCCAGCGACCACGGCCCACTTCGGATCGAATCCTGCGGCTACGACTTGACACAGCGGCGCCAAACGAAACCTCAACATGGCTGAACCGAACGAGGAAGGTCAGCGGCGCAGCGAACGGAACCGGACCCGACAGACTGCGGCAGCGGGCCCTCCCCGACTTCCAGTCACCGTTACTACTGGAGCAGGGAGCACAGGCCTTGGCGGTAGCAATGGCGCGACCACGAGCCAAGGTAGTGTGGCAGCTGGAAATCCTGAACTCTCCGACACCGCTAATCAAGGACAAGGAACATCGGTGACGAGCCCATCCATCGTCCCTCCGGCAATTAAGACTGGATTGAATGTACCGACAGACGACCTTCCTGGACTTAATTCTCTTGTACAGGAGGCCGTACAAGCCGCCGTGCGAGGAGCGATCACGGGCTTGGCTGACCTGCTACGTTCCACAGCTCAGCCCACGAATGACGCAAGACCACCGACAGACTCTGGTAAGCTGGTACCAGTGTTCAACCCCGTGACGAATCCAGCGCAGACCATCGAACATTGGATAAGAAAAGTGGACGAACTCTCTGTGATATACTCATGGAACGAGCGACAGACGTCGTGTTTTGCGCTGACGAAACTGGAAGGAATCGCTAAAGCATGGTACGACGGCCTCGTCAGTGTCCAGCGCTCGTGGCTTGAATGGAAGGCGGAGCTGAAGAAAGCTTTTCCACCCGTCATATGCTTACAGCGCCGGCACCAAAAGATGGAAGCGAGACGGAAATTGGCAAACGAAACTGTCGAGCAGTACTTTCATGAAAAAGTCAGCCTAGCTCGACTCTGTCAACTTCCTAAAGATCAGATCGTGGATTATGTCATAACCGGCATCAATGACGAATCTCTCGTTCGAAGTTTGAGCGTTGTCAGATTCCCGACACCGGAGGCTCTGCTGAAATGTCTAAAATGTTTGGACGACCGACTCGCCGTCATTGAGGAAGCGTCCCACCGGTCAGATGTGGCGACCGTTTCAGCGACTGTCAAGACAGTTCCATCGAATCACCGATCCACCCAAAGTGTTGTTAAACGAAAACCGGCCTTCAACTCTAGCGGTGAGCCGCGCTGTTTTAACTGCGACGAATACGGACATATATCTGCAAACTGCAGTAAACCACAGAAGCGAGAACGCTGCAGCAAATGTCAACGGATAGGACATAAAACAGCGGACTGCAGAGCAAGCGCCAAAGGTAGTACGAACGTCAAAAGTCATCACATTGAAGATAATAAGGAAGTGAATGCACGAAACGAGAAGCACTTTCAAGATGCTCTGCTAGACGGGAAGCCCATTCGAGCTTACGTTGACCTTGGCAGTCAGTGCGTTACGTTGCGCAAGATAGATGCCGACGATTTGGGAATCAGCTATAACGAGCCGTCCCGGGAATGCAAGATTGCGGGCTACGGTTCCGGTCAAGTTCTGCCGTGTGGAATGACGGAAGCAAGCGTCACAGTGGACCAAGCTACAGCCCGCGTTCCAATCTACATTGTTCCAAGTGAAGCGCAAGCGATTCCGCTTCTCGTTGGACAGCCATTTACTGAGCAACCACATGTCACGATCGTACGAAGAAGGAACACACTTCGCATTTTTGAAGAGAACGGCAGCTTTGCTGATGAAGATGACCAGCTTCGATTCGTTCAAGTTCCTGATCTTCCGCCACGTTCTGTCACGTTCTGGGCCAAGGAGTCTGTCGTGATTCCACCAGACTACGTGGGAATTGTTTGTCTGACGACCAAGGAATCCGCCACAGGACACGTCTTCGTTGACGCACAATTTCGAACGCAAGAGGGCAGGGAACACTGCCTGCCTGCTTGCGTAATCGACGTCTCGGAAGGCGGCAACACTGTTTTGCCTATTTTGAATGTATCGAAGTCCGACCTCCATATTTCGAAAGGAGAAGTTGCAGCCAGAGGATCCTGGTGTTCAGGAACAATTGAGACTGCGTGCCAGCGAAAGACGACGGATAAGTTGCAACCGATTAAGGCGTAGGATGTACGAAAGGGGCCTCAGGTGACTACTGAAGAATTTGACAGGCTGCTAGAGCTCATTAACGAGTACCGTGACTGCTTTGCCGTCAACGTCTTCGAGCTTGGCTCTACGAGTGCGACAGAGATGAACATCGAGACTGTTCCTGGGGCAAAACCAGTATCTTTTCGTCCATACCGGCTGTCCTACGACCAACGCACTCGAGTAAACAAGGCCGTAGAAGAACTGAAAGAAGCAGGTGTTGTCCGCGACTCATAATCCGAGTATGCGAGCCCACTACTTGTCGTAAAAAAGAAAACCGGAGAGGAACGACTTTGTGTTGACTACAGAGCGCTGAATGCGATTTACTAAGAAGGATAAGTATCCTCTACCTCTTATCGAAGATCAGCTGGACCGACTCCAGGGAAACTACTGCTTTACGACGCTTGATCTGGCATCGGGCTACTACCAAGTTCCAATGGCTGAGGAGTCCCGAGCTAAGACTGCTTTCGTGACGCCTGACGGACATTACGAGTTCTTAAAAATGCCGTTCGGTCTCACCAACGCTCCAGCGGTCTTTCAACGTATGATGAATGCCGTATTGGGACAGTTACGATATGGTGTCGCCCTAGCGTACATGGACGACGTTCTTATCCCTTCCACCGACTTTAATGAGGGTCTAGCTCATCTCGAGCAGGTCTTCCAGGTTCTACGAGCTGCGAACCTTACGCTTCGTAAAAGCAAATGCACCTTCATGACAGAGAAAGTCACGTATCTGGGCTTCGAGATCGGAGCGACTGGACTCAGACCCAGCGACTACAAAGTGAAGGCTCTAATTGACTTTCCAACACCGTCCCGAGTGCACGAAGTCCGACAGTTTGTTGGACTGGTCAGTTACTTCAGACGGTTTGTCAAGAATTTGGCAACTCTCGCACAGCCATTAACGAAGCTTCTAAAGAAAGACGCACCTTGGGAGTGGACCACAGAGCAGGACACCGCGTTCAGTGTCCTAAAGCTGCACTTGCAGGAACGCCCTGTGTTGGCCCTGTACAACCATGAAGCCCCGATGGAAGTTCACACAGACGCAAGCAAAAAGGGGTTGGGGGGCATGCTACTTCAACTACAGAATGACGGCCACTTCCACCCCGTGATTTACGTAAGTCGTCAAACGTCAGAGGCTGAGGGACGTTATCATTCATACGAGCTGGAAACACTCGCCGTGGTGTGGACGTTGGAACGACTCAGGACTTATCTTCTTGGAATCGATTTCAACATTGTCACGGACTGCAGCGCCCTACGGGGAACGATGAGCAAACGTGAACTCATACCCCGAGTGGCACGCTGGTGGTTCCGGTTGCAAGAATTCACCTTCACGGTTATTCACAGAGATTCAGCGTCTATGCAGCATGTTGATGCGTTGAGTAGGTCTCCGACTGGACCAGCGGAAGAGATGGAGGCGTGCGAAGGACTCCATATCTACGCTACAGCGATGGAAGAAACGGATGACTGGTTGGTTGCCGCGCAACGACTGGACGCCGATGTGAAACACATCAGAGAGGTTCTGGAGAAACCTGCGTCCTCGGCCGAGGAGCGCCGCATCCACTCCGAGTATAAACTCTAGAGGAATGTTGCCTTCCGAAACATTGATGGAGACTCATCAAGGCTACTGTGGCTTGTTCCGAAACCACTGCGTTGGCAGGTTGTGCGACGTTCCCATGATGATCTGGGGCATGTGGAGACGGAAAAGACGATCAAACGGATCCAGGAGAAATACTGGTTCGCAGGAATGAAGCGCTATGTACGGAGATACGTCGCCTCATGCGCAGAGTGCCTCTATAATAAGACGCCAACAGGAAAGAAGCCTGGCATGCTTCATTCCATCGACAAGGTCGGTGTTCCGTTTCACACACTCCATCTGGACCACTTGGGACCGTTTCCAAGATCCAGACACGAAAATACGTACCTGATTGTAGCTGTGGACGGGTTCACAAAGTTTGTGATACTCACACCTGTTAAGAACGCAGGAGGCCAAGCGACTACACGATGCCTGCGACACATCGTTGGACTTTTTGGACCGCCGACGCGAGTAATCACGGACCGAGGAGTGGCGTACACTAGCACGACATTCAAGAAGTACCGTGAAAACTCTGGCATCATTCACATTTTGACTTCAACAGCCACACCGCGTGCGAATGGTCAAGTCGAGCGTTTCATCAGGACGATCACTCCAGCGATTGCCACTTTGACAAAGGACAAAGGTGAGAAGATCTGGGATGAGGTTGCTCACCTTGTTCAGTGGATCCTGAACAACACGTACCACAAAGCAATAGACAGCCCACCGTTCAGATTGTTGTTCAACTTCGAGTCAAGAAGCTTGAATGGCGATCACCTCGATGACGCTTTGCGCGACCTGTCTACTAAAACTAGCGAGGAGATGTCAAATAGAAGGAAGGCAGCTATCCAAGCCACCCGACTTGGTCAAGAGAGGCAGAAGCGTCGCTACAACCAGAAGCGACGACATGCTCCAACGTTTGAACCGGGAGATATCGTTGTGGTTCAGCGAGAACCGACGTCGATAGGAGAATCGCGCAAGTTGCAGGAGAAATACAAAGGTCCGTACGTACTCACGAAGCGACTTCCAAACGACACCTATCGCATCGAGGACATACCTGGCCACCAGCGGACTCAACGTTATTACACTTCAACAGCTCCCGTCGATAAGCTGAAACGACTCAACACATTTGATGTGGACAGTGAAGAAAGTTGTAAAGAAACATCAAGTGAGGGCACTTGATTGCTAGGATGGCCGAATGTTAGCGCCGTCCTCGAAGACGACGAAGAGTACCAAAAGACCAAAAGAGCGCTCCACGATCCGCGCGACTTAGAGTTCTTTTCTCGGTAGCCATACCTGCCTGACGTATATTAAACGTCCTTTCCTAACCTTCTCTCGGCCGCCCCCGTTTTCAATGTCGAGACCGTAACATTGGGATGACCTTGGTTACGCCGACGGCGACGGCGACGCCGCTCAAGCCGGGAACGGGCCCCTAAGAGCTGCGCTCTAAAACGACAAGGTTCCTTCATTACAAACAACTGAGGTTGGTCTGAAGCTGAGTAATATTGGTGTTCTGTTACATTTAGATATTTGTGCGTTGTCGACCCCGATTTCCCACTTGAACATCTTTTTTCAATAGGGGTGAGAGGTAGACGAGCTCAGTGGTCACCGTGTACATATCAACCACGGAGGACATTTGACGAGAGAATAACAGTCACGATAATTTCACTAATGAACTCAAATCTCTTCGTCAACTTTTACATGATTGATTTGAGGGGTTATGTTGGAATAGCACTTTGAATCGCAATCAACGTTAGAACATAGGCCTAATGAAATAATTTGAGAGAAGATTATGATTTTCGAGATGTTAACGGTTCAAGATAGCACTCAAAGAGTGGGCTGCATGCCCTGCTAACAATGGCGCTTAGAAGAGTGAGGTCGTCATTTTAATAACGCTCTACCTAACCCCCAGCGCGTCCTTGGTGGGTGCGCCGACGAAACAAAGGGCAATGTAACCTCAACGACTGCCAACTTTCCAAGCGCCATTGCGGGCAAGGTTTATTTTTCTTTTTGCGCTCAATTTTTCAATTGCGCGTAAAAACACGAACATGAGTGATTTCTATCTTAAATACCAGACTATTTTTGCAACATATACAGAATGGTATGGCCTTCAATATTAATTACTATGAGTACTGCATTCCAACATGACCTGCAAAACCTATAACCACGAAGTTAATGAAGAAGTATTAGATAATTAGTCAACTTATCATGACGATTATCTCCTCCCCTAATGTTCGCCGAACCTAATATACATGTTGAAACCGCACTCTTCTAACTCTCAGCCCCTCAACCTTTTTTAATCGGTTCGAAATTAAACGAACACCGGGTTATATAGTACTTCCAGGTTTTTTGAAAAAAATAAAATGTCATCTTCAATATATTCGGTTCTAATTTTTTATTGAATTTTAAAGGAAATTGACAAGGACACGAAATGAAGCGTAGCATGTATCCTCACCTTCGTAATATTTTCGCTGAACCAGATGATATCTTGAATAGTCGCTTCAGTTTGAGCGTCTGTTATGCCCGGATAGAGTATTTTCATGCTGAACTCCATAACCCTCTTGGTAGCTATGCCCATAGGAGTGAGGTGACTGCCTTCGGAAACTCGCATTGTTTGAGTGACCGCGTTATCAAGCTCTGGCATACCCAACTGTGACCGGTAGGAACAGAGTAAAAACGTGAGTAAAAAAACACAGATAAACGTGTCAGCTTACTACACTGATCTCATGCTTCTTATTCAATATAATTTTCAAAATAAGCAAATTCCTTTTTCGCTTTATTTACCCAAATGAAAGAGATTCCTTTAATATACTTCTTATTGAAATGACCCATTTGTGCATCAAGGACACTCCCTATTGAAAGACCGTAGTAAAGAATTAATACTTCGAAATTTAAAAAAAAAATATTGAGATTAGCGTTTTTCTTTACGTGTTTGCACGTCATTCTACCCGCAGGAGTTGGTCGGGACTCGGGACTCGGGTTCCATCGTGTCCCCCCCCCCCCCCCCATGTTTTTGTTTATCTCCGCTTGAACCTGCCTCCACAAAGAGTTAGTACGCACGGCGTTAAGGAAATCATAACAAAACGTCATTCATCAGTGCTAGTAATTCATAATATTTACTTAAGAAGTATATTTCACCCCTCTGTTATGAGATTATTCTTCGCTCGCCGGTGGGACGAATAGGTGTACAACAATTGATATGATTGAGGCGGTTTTGTTGGCGGATGAAGGGGATCTGTGTTCCCAAATGTCTCGTGTAAAAAGGGTTAGAGCCAAGTGTGGCCCTAAAGGTTGTGTGCATCGCTGGGCTCAAGTAACCTGACATTCATTAGACACAGAGGCTGGCTGCCACACAGGTTGATTATGACAGTCCGGCCGTGTTCAGAGCGAGTTGCTTCTGATAGGTTTACACCACGGCGCCACTGTCATGTCCCAAGCTTACAAAATTATATATTACTTAAAAACGACAATTTACTTTAATCGTTATCCTGTGATAATAAATCTTGTGAAGGAAAATCTGATGCAATAAAACAAAAATAAACATAAATGTATCGGAAGCTGAGAAACATTGCATCGCATGGTGTTGCTATCGGTGACGTCATGAACGTTTAGACCAGGGCAATAAAATTATTAACAAAATGCCTAGAAGAGTTCATTACCTTGAACAAAGTAGAATGTCAGTGAACACCAACCCGAAATAAGATATTATTGTAATAATGTGATAGTGACAAGCTGTACAACTGTCTAGATCAAGGGTGGCCACGCTGACCCGGCCTCAGAGCCGCGAACAAAATCACGAAACTTCCAAGAGCCGCAAGGGGGGAGGGGGCGCAAACTTTTGTTCAGAGCAATAAACGAAACTCGAACTACTTTCGATCTATCCGAGTCAAAAGCGGCCCAACTCTACGTAAGGTAGCTGTAGCACAAGGCTACCAAACCGCAACCTGTCTTTCGATTTAAAACGCGTTCCATTTCTCTATTTGGGGAAGTGCTTGTGTGACAAGGAGGGAGGCGTGGAAGGGGGGGGGGGGGGGGGGGGTAGGGGAGGGAGCCGCGAGCCGCACTTTCAGACGCGAAGAGCCGCATGCGGCTCGCGAGCCGCAGCTTGGCCGCCCCTGGTCTAGATGGAAGAGAATCAATACTAAGAATAAATATAACTATCTCCAAAAACCCAAGATTCAATCAAGCTCAACTCGATTTAAGTTTTATAAAATGAGCAGTATAAATAAATTATTCGGCACTTTTTATTCGAAATAATTTTAGGTCGCGACATCTAAGCAAGTGCGTAAAACCAATGTTAGAAATATGTTAAACGAAAGTAAACTCTCCAACAATTAACGGGGAATAACCAAAAGTTGCTGCTGTTTTGCTCCCACAAAGATGAAATATCTTACTCAAGATGGACGATATGATTTTTCTTAAAACTTAGTTCGGAAAAAGACCAGTCTCTCCGCCTATTTTCGACGGGGACGACTTCGCACGACAAACGTCATTTAGTAAGCTCGCAAACAAACCAAATGGTCAAGATGTCGTAACGTAATTTCTGTCTAGAGAGCACACGCACGCAAGTGTTGTATTTGTTTACTATCGGTACGTCCTTGCTTAGCTAATAAATCCAGTGGTCTAGATGAGGTGCTTGTAATACTAGCATTGCTGTACTAACATTACTAATAATCAGTACGCAAAACGAAATGTATAGGGTATCCCATGATGTTCTCCAGTGAGGGTTTACAACTGTAGATAATGCGCCGTAAATGATTGGTAAAACGGGGCATAGAACTATCCGTTTCTAGCATTGGAAAAGTAAATTCTGCATTTTCTGTGCTCATCCGCTACACAGAACAAACTCACCACAAGAATATTCTTTGTTGTGTTCGTCACATCTTTTATGACGAACTCCGCAAACAAATAGTATAAATTCAGTTCGTTGTGAATCCGGATGTAGAGATCGTGCCAGCTGGGAAATGTGTTTTCATTTTCGAAAAGTGGCGAAATGGGCCAGTGTTCACCGACTACTCTCTTCAGTACATCTTGCAATGCACGAAATTGAACCTCTGCAGGAATGGCTGCGTGAAAGTAACACATAGTTACATTAAATATTTTGTTCAACACGAAGACAACGATTTCGCACGGTTTTCATACGTTGACGTCGCTTGTCATAAAACCGATAATTAAAATGCAAGTTATCCTTTTGTTTTAGTGTGAAGCGAATTGGTTAGCTTGTTTTTTCCGCCATACAGCTATGCTGTGTGTATTAAGTTTAGTTGGGTGCACTTTCCTTTCGGTGCGTTAGGTAAGTTCTAACCAAGACCTAGCCACGGCCCTATATACTTCTTAGTTAATTAGAAAACTTATCATGGGCTAGAGTTGATACATTCAAATGTAAACGCGAAGGTTAACTTCGTGCATGACACTTCCCTTTTTGTCGCACAATAAATTTTTGAACTATCAAATCAAGCACCCAATTTATACTATAAAGGCCTATTCCGAAGCAACATTCCTAACTTACAGGTATTGACACAGTTACGATATGCAACCGCAACTTTATCCGTGACATTCTGATCCTTCGTTTTGTAGGTAGCATTTTCCAATATATCTAAAGAGAAACGAGTAGAACAAAACGTACAGAAGTATTTTAGTGTCGCAGTAAAAAAGAACAAATCACGCGGCAAGAAATCTTGGCATAATAAGTCACATCCTGCCAATCTGCGTTCTTTAGGTTAAGAACAACCATGGAGCGATTTCATTTTCGCAGCGACAGCGCACCGTTCGACTGCTTAGTAGCAACTTGGGAGGCACTGACGCAAAGCTTCTGTCTACCATTTAGTGGTTCACATTTCAACCTATATCAAATTTCCCCAACCATGCGGCGTGCGTGTTCTTGTGCTATTTGCGCACCTCGTGCGTCAGTTTACCCGCCAGATGCTGCCACGTGCTTTTGTTTCCCACCCGACATCGCCTCATGACAACGCGCACTTGCCCGCCTCGTTATTGCACGTTCCCTGGGCGTTTTCTACGATGGATTTCATTTGACTGGCGTGCCCTTCCTTGCCTTCCGATGCGCCAGAGATGCGTTTTCGAACGCTCGCTCGCCGTATAGTAATTAAAAGACTAAATAAGCCTAGTGCGTGACTAATTATCCGCACGCTCTCCGTTTCGTTCGTCGCTCATCGGCAATGTTATTGGCCAACGGCGCGATCACTTTGGCTACGAATTAAGACGCTAAGGGACTTGGCACCAGTGGCGTAGCCAGGGAGGGTGTTCAAGGGTCGAAACACCACCTGAAATTTTATAGCTCTCCTCTTTCCTATGTCAGTCTTTTTTTTGTGTGTGCTTTGCCGTTTTCTCGATGCATTAAACATTCGATGTTCGACCGTTAACTGTGTGAGAAATACAAGTCCCGCTCTGGCTCTCTGAAGAGCTGTTGCCAAACGCAGCCATGTTAGTAACCGAAGCCTTGCTCCAGGCTCGCGGATGCGAATGACTCAGCTCCCGACGTCACAAAAACCGCGAAATCCTGACCTCGAAAGAAGCTGGCCTGGCCTCGGAGAATGCAGGCGGGTTGACAAATGACCCCCTTCCCTTTGAATTGCAAGGACTCGACGACAGTTTTAGGGCAGCAAAACAAAGTTCCAAAATAGCAATACTCTGACTTTGCAAACGGAGGTTCTATCCTCTCCACTTTTTACCTTGCCCCAACTTGACTCCCTTTGCAGCTTAGGAGAGGGGGAACGCTAAAAGGATAATCTTCTTGGCAGAAAACCAAGGTTCTATGTCGGCCTTTAAAGGCCCGTTCACACCAGGGTGTCTAGATGAGCGGCGGGCACAAGTAGGCACCTTAGTTCACACATTTGCCACCGAGTAGTACCGACCTAGACAAGGCCCGTTTTGAAGCCTCTAGCGACGGCGTAAGACCGAATGCGCTGCTGCGGAGCAGGTTCTATGCCAACGCAAGAGGCTCAAGACCGGTCTTGTCTCGGTCGCTCCTACTCGGTTGCAAGAGTGTCAACGGGCCTTAAGGATGAACGCAGTATAGGGGTCGCGCTTCTGAACATTCACCGGAACTTCAGGGACAGCCCCGAAAGGGTCCCTCCGCTTTTTTCTATCGACCGACATCGACTCCACAAGATGTTCAGACCCCACAAAATGATAGAAGATGGTACTTTTTTCTGTCACTTTCTCGTAAAAGGACAACGAAGAACGAAAAGAACCCAAAACATGACCATAGCACGATCATTGCTGAAAAATGTTTACCCGTGGAAGGTGTGGGCACTGAGCGTATGTAGAAAGGTGATGCGCATGATTTGAATTGTCTGAACACGCGCCGTGCCTGCAGCAGCGCCACCGCAGCGAAGTAAAGTGAGAACCAGGTTAAGGTATATTTATTTATTTATTCATACCCTCAAGGCATAAGCATCATAGAGGGAAGTGGTAGAGCAAATAACAAAGAGTAAGCATGGGATGAAAATTGGGAAAGCAATACAAAAGGAAATTACAAAAAACAATGGATACAAACGACTCAAACAGTCCAAAAATATCCAATCCGCTAGCGTACACAAACGCATATATACAATAAAATTTATAAATAGTAGAAGCAGTACGCGCCCGATCGCGTTGACCAACACCGACTTCGAAGGGCCGTCTACACTCCGTCGTCATGCGAAACACTCTTTAAAAAAAGGTTCCCGTTCTCACACCTTTTAGGGTGTAATTTGCTTGTCCTTGGAGTTCGTCTCAAAAGGTTAGCAAAGTTACCTTTTCCGCTTGGGAGCAACTGTTACACTTTATGTCAGGGTGCACCTGTGCTCTCTTGAAGAGACAACCTTATCTCTCATGGGCAGCAATAGCCTCTATATCGAGGGTGTCATTTTACTTCCATTAAGAGGCAATATGGCATACTTTTGGGTTGAATGTTTCGCCCTTTTTGGGAGTGGCAGCACATGCTTCATGTGCGTAACTTCACCTCTTCTAAGGGGCTGTAACAGTCAGCCAGCTTACATCTTCTCCGGGGCTACCTCAACGGTACAAGAATACTGATTAGAAAATTTACATGGGAGCCTGCATACAAAAAGTGGCACCGATCAGTACTCGAAAACCAAACTAAACGTGATTGCATCGTCGCCATGTATCTTGCAGCGACCACCCAGCGAACTCCAAGGTTAAACTTCTGCGATCAAACGGCCGGTGACGCCTTCTCGCAGTAGAAAGATATCGCCTACAATAGCGTCTCCTCTTACTGCTCATTTTTTTACTTTGATCGGCCACTTCGGCGCCGAAACCTGTACATCAGAAGGGGGTTCAGGACTGCCGACCCCTGTCTCCCAAGCAGGCGAGCCGCGATTATTCAACGAAGTCAGGACGAACCCACGTCGGGACGCGCTACCTGAAAGTCACAGGTGAAACAGGCTTTTATAAGAACAATGGCAAATGTGCCGCAAAACCCTGTAAACTAAAATTGTATGCAGACATCACGCTACTGTCATTGTGTCATCTCCAATAAAATGCCATACATAAAGAGCTTTTTCCGTTTGTTTTTTTCCCAAAAACATTGTTCCTAAAAGCGAGAAGTATACGCGTTCCACCACCGACGAAACCCAACGGAGAACGATGGAAGTGACGTGGGGGCTAGCATTACCGTCTAAAAACGCGTTTCAAATAAGCGGCGCTAGTACTTGTCCCCTCGAGGAGGTAATAAGCAAGGCACTTCCGTGCTTACCCGATGGATGATGTAAAAGTTGGTTGTTTCACCCTGTTGGGAAACTTTTGTTCTAAGAGTGAACGTGACGTAGCGCAGCGTAGCCCAGCGCGCCTCGGCGCAGCTTACGACGGAATAGAGGATGCTCTATTCGCGTCGTCGACGAAGCAACGCCACCTAGACAGAAGGTCTCCGCACGCGTCATCACAGTTCGATTGATCGAGGCGTGAGGTTAGGCACGAGTGCTGTGCCAGTGTTTGGGTGGGGCTCGTGTCTAATAAGCACGTCGAAGGTCGGGCTCGGGTCCAATAGCCGATTTTGTGCGATCCAAATCTGATGACGTTTAACAAAGTTAAGAAGAGACCATGCGGAAGACTTCTGTCTAGGTGGTGTTGGCCGAGGACGGTAACTACACCAGAAGCCCTCGCACGAGCGCCCCACTCGGGAATATGGTTCTCACAGCCAATCGGGGTGTGCGAGACGTTCATTCCTGGGATCTCAGCCTGCCGTTTTTGTCATGTATGGTGTGCTGTTGTCTTGTTCCCGTATCGATGTGCGTATTTAGCGATAGTGCGCTGAACTGGGCGAGTATGTGCGTGGATGTGGGCTGCTCCGAGGATGCGCTACCCCAACTCTCGTTAAGCCTGTAGGCCTAACGAGCCGGTGGTGGTGGGCAGTAGTCACCGTGGACGCTGTGGTGGTGAGCCAGCAAAAACTGAAAGATCCTCGACGCGCCAAATGTAGAGTTCTTATAATTAGCGATGACCTTATGTCTGTGCTATATGTTATCATGTGCTAGTCGCATGCATCGGCAGCTGCTTTTGATCGAAAGAGCGCCGTCGAATGCACAGGAACGGCGGTTCCAGTAAAATATCTGAACTAATTAGCCAGCCATGCATTTTCAACTGGCTGTCTCAGCTGGTAAAGGATGTAGAAGTGCGCGATGAAAATGGGACTTATTTGGGTATCGTTTGCAAGGGCTCCGTGAAGTGTGCTACAATTACCAACGCGTATAATGCGTAACTTAAGTATCGTCCGCTCTCTTCAATGTCAATTTCTTGACTCGACATGAAAGTCTACTATAATAACACGTCGGCAATCTGTCGGAAAGAGGTCGCTGTGGAATATAGAGCCCATTTGTTCGGTCGAAGCATGTCGGCGGAATCATCGGAGTCGCTTGGAACGACTCCGGCGGACCTGTCAAGCGTCTAGCTTTGTCGCACGCAATATTGTGATATTTTTGTTTTCCGTCAATATGTGTGTGATGTTTTGAAGGAAATAAAGGCTTCTCACTCATTATCCCGCATCATTTGCATACTTTCAAACGGCTAACCACTGTCTCGAATCGCTGTCTGCAAGCTTAACTATACGACATGGACGACCCACCAAACATATTGCGTTGTGGGTATGTTTATACAGCCTGAAGTTAGTCTGCCTTAACGGGCGACTTGTCTCTTGGCTGTAGATGAACAATTTCGCCAGTGCACCACAACCACCGGAGGCAATTGCTAGCCTGGAGTTTTTAACGTACAAGACCGCACGCCGGCACCGTGCTCATCCAGATCGAAACGGGCGGGAGTAACGATCGTGGACCAACCACAACCACACCTAACTCGGTGCTCTGAACGACCGACTGCTAGATGGCATGATTTGGTACCGACCAGGAAGTGGGCATAAGGTATAGAGGCGATGCAGTTTCAAAGAAGACGCGCATGCGCAGAGTGGGGCAGTTCGCTGGGGCGCACCGGACCGCGCTGGGCTGTCAACACGGTCGTTCGGGTGCTTCTGAGAGCCGCGTGACGTAGCGCGGTGACCGACGGACGTCGGTCTGCGCCAAGCGCTTTCTGTTCGTCGACTTCGGAGTATAAATATCCCTTAATGAATAGCACGCCCTGCGTTCTTTAAGATCTCACTCTCTATAGACCCTATAGACTATTCCATTTAGCGCTCTCAAGGCGCAGCCATTTTGTTCGACCGCAGCGCCCTCTCCACACATCCGGGAAGTTCAGCAGGTTCGGCGGGGTAAAATGAGAGAGAGGGCACGCGCCCAATTCCGCTAGCAGATGACGAACCGGGAGCTTACCGTTCTACATCTCTGGGCTGTACTGGCGGGCCGCACCGAACATCGAAATCTCGCTCGTGGCTGCCGTTGTGAAGTGTTTCGCGTTCTTAGAATATACATGGCTGCTCCAACATTAGCCTATAGCACTTTGTTGTTTAATTTTAGTAAATGATCAACTAGTGTATCCTTTTTCCGTTACTTCAATAGCAGTGGGGTCAGCCGGCAGTACTACCCTAAATCACTGCGTATATTGCGTCAGAAGGGCACGTTTTTATTTATGATTTCAGACTTCCACTCATTGTCGCTAAAGGCCTCCACCACTACAAACTTTTTATAGTAAAAAAGCTAGGTTTAGAAAGAGTTATAGACGTAAAGACAGGGGACGGGACAACACATCTTTCATGTGAAAGAGGTGTTGTCCCGTCCCCTGTCTTTACGTATATAACTCTTTCTAAACCTATGAAAGATGTGTTGTCCCGTCCCCTGTCTTTTAGGCATATAACTCTTTCTAAACCTATGAAAGATGTGTTGTCCCGTCCCCTGTCTTTACGTATATAACTCTTTCTAAACCTATGAAAGATGTGTTGTCCCGTCCCCTGTCTTTACGTATATAACTTTCTAAACCTACATCATTACCAACGCGCTCACTAAAAAGTGTAAAAAAGCTACAGCAACCGGATTTACTTTTCGTCGGAGAGACCGGCCACTCTAACACACCTTTCCTATTTCTTTTCTTTTTCCTTTTTTTTTATTTGCACGCTGGTACATTAATTACAGCATTACACGATAACTTGCATATAACATTTTGAGCATCTGCGCTCGAAATTTCCAAGATAACGCGATTTTAAACCGAGTTTCAGCGTCAGCCGGATGTTAGGTACAGCCCACTCGGCGGAGCAGACGACACGCTGGGTGAGAGAGGGAGGGCATTTTTTCGCTCTCCGCTTTTCCTAGTGACACGGTCTATAGATCCCCTCAAGACCTAGTGGCGACTTTCTTTTGTTGTTGTTTCTGTTGAGGCAACATACATTTATGGTTTTGGCGAGCCATTTAAGATTTTTAGAGGGCTTAAATTCATCCGCAATTTTTCAACGGGAGGCGCAAGATGTCGTTTTCTTTTTGGTTTGAGATGTAAGGCCCAAGTTCTTAGATTCTTCTCGGTACGGTACAACGACTGAACAGACAAGGCTTTTTCTACAGTCTTTATAAAATACAAACTGCCACGGGTAATTCGCTGGAACATGAGTACACTCGACGTAGCTAAGTGAATCACGAAACATTATTCTCGAAATTGTACTGAAATACGTTGGTGGCCTAATTGGTTAAACATAATAAACGCGTCGTTCGTGAACATCAAGTTCACGCACAAGGCTTCAACCAACAGCACCCTTCAATTTTTAAATCTTCGGTTCAGCTTCAAGGGTAATCATATATGCTGGACGTACTTGCCAAGATCCCAAAAAAGTCTACTCCAGTGGGATTCGGCTCATACAACATTTATAAAAAGAGCAATTGTTTCCAGTTGTTTTAGCGCGGCCTAACGAGTCCTGTCCTCAATCAGCAGCGGAGAGCTTTGATCCGCGAACATTAAGGTTCAAAGCTGAAGGCTACCCTCCTTCCATCCTACCAGATGTCGGCGAATGCACGATCGAAACTACCCGAACAGGAGAGAGTTGAGAGAACCGACGCCAACCTGTGGTCGTCCCATACATGCATCGCATCTCACACAACGTCAAGAGAGCCGCATCAAAACATGATGTCCGGGTGCTGCTATCTGCTGCAGACAGGCTAACAAGGCTCTGGCCCAAAACAAACTCGCAGCGCGATAAAGCGCACAGGTGCAACGTGAGACATGCCCACAAATATGTAAACTGTGACTGCGTAGTTGGGTATGAGATACCGTTTTCACATGGATATGCTTATGTGGGCCAGACCTGAAAACGCGTCAATATGAGGCTCAGAGAGAGCGAACTTTCTCTAAAATCCTCCCGGTCAGGTCACCTACCCTTACATGTAAGGGATGGTGGGTGCACCCCGTTGTTCGCTAGCGCAGGGGATTGAGGAGGTTCCACGGCAAAAAGAACAAGGGGAATATACGAAGCCCAGGTCATCGCAAAAAGAAGCAAATCCTACATAAGAGCGCCATCAGTGAACGTATCACCCAGGGAACTACGATGGCCTCTTTTGTATTTCTAAACTAGTTTTCTTCTAGAATGGATGCTTGGGCGAGTTCGGTATTCATAATGTAGGAAATAGCCCAAAGTAAACTCACTCACATTGAAAATGCACGCACACCAGAAAAAAGGTCACTCACGTCGCGCTTTTTTCTGGTGTGCGTGTATTTTCAGTGTGAATGACTTTACTTTCCGCTATTTCCTACATTTTTCAATAACTTTTGTTTTTAATTTTTGAATAATTTTCCCTCGTCATAATTTTTTTTCTATTAACTTTTTTTCTTACCGCAATCACTTTTCGTTTCTTTTTCATTTTTTATGCAGATTTATCTTCGTATTTTTCTTCCTTCATTTTTCATTAAACGTCAGTTAAAAGTAACGCTTGTCCTGTTCTGTCCTCCCTTGTTTTTTGTCTTTTGTGCTAATATTTTTTATTAATATTTTGAACACCTTTCATTAATATTGTATAATCCAACGTCCGTTAATAGCCAGTTTTGCCTGCATTCGGGAGGAGAATGCCGAACGTTTTGAGTTGGCGGGAAAAACTTATTGTGCGAGGTTCGCTGTGGCATTCCGCAAAAGCTCCAGGTAGTTACTACTTAGTCTACACATTACATACCTTTCAAATCAATCAAAACTTGGTCGTCGAGAGAATGCAAGCCGCCGATGACGTTCTTTACATCCGGAATAGGGTTGTGAAACATCCAGTTATTGCACACATAGCCGTAAAAATCCGTGCACGGATCAACGTCGTCGTTTAGGAGTTTTGTTATTAGTTTGGCTGAAACAAAACACGTGAAAGTGAAAAAGAACGTGTTTTCCAACTATGCACTCAGGAGATTTGTCTGGGGACGAATGTCATATGCTTATATTTTGCGTATGCGTATTACACAGTTATACTGTGTTGTTAAAGTTATTTTGCGGTTGTATGACATGATGTGTGAAGCGGGCGAGCCCTAGTCAAGCTACATCTTTTGCAGTTTCCACTGTCTTCCTTTTATATGCGAAATGCAAAGAGCAAATAAAGATTATTATTAATATTTTTAGTAGTAGTAGTAGTAGTAGTAGTAGTAGTAGTAGTACGATTATTATTATTATTATTATTATTATTATTATTATTAATTGTGAAATTATTGAATCCACCTAGACATATGTAAACAGAGAAATATGTCTGCAGAAAAAAGACCAAACTTTTTCGATGTAGAACGCGGTGACAACATATGGACTATAAAAATTACTGAGCCTTAATACTGATTTATACATATTCCTTCGCTATATAAACACACGCGTTAAATAGTTCACATGAACACACGAGACGTGTCGTAGAAATAAATATAGAGATCAATATTATATAATTACAGCCTCGTAATTTCAACGTTCATGACGCTATGTTATTGTCTACACTAACTGTAGAACCGAAGAACGTGCGAAACGAAAGTGCCCACGAAAGAACGCGCGACACATGGCGCAAGCAGCCAGTTGAGCGTGCGTCAAGAGAGTGCACGTGCGCGCTGTGGACAGCTCCAGGGCTATTGTGTGCGGCGACACAGCTACCTAAGCTGTCACTGCTCAATGAGGAAGGCAGCATTCGAGGGATTGTGCTCTATCGGGTTTCACAAAACTGTTAAAACAGTTTTAAACCTTTTTTTTTTTTCTTTTTTTTTTACAGTGACAGTTGTTAGTGGTTTGTTTCCCGGTTTTCTGACGGCGTGAGCGTGAACAAAAAGTTTATCCACGAAATTTAGGGGGGAAATTGACGTCACGTTAACTATGCATCAATTCAGTTTTTCTGCTAAATTTAGCGGGAAAATTGACGTCGCGTGAGATATGCATCAATTCAGTTTCTTCGCTGGATTTCGCGGGATAACTCATCTCACGTGACCTCACGTCAAGACACCTACAGAAAAATTTAAGTTGTCCGCTACATTTAGCGGAAAAATTTACGTCACGTGACCTAAGCATGAATTAAGTTTCCCCGCTGAACTTGGCGTGGAAACACATCGCGACCTTAAAATCATTTATTCATCAACAACGTATCGACGCTAAATCACCGCAACGCCATTTCGATATCAGATCACCGTATGACGCTCGATCGGCGCAATTTCAATTGATCGTCATTGTCATATCGTGGAATAAGCAGCAAACTGGTCGCTGTCTAAAAGGATCACGTCGTGTGATCATCGCGCTTTTTTTTTTCTGCTTTTCGTTTTTTAGGGCTGGGGCTGTAACTCATCTGCATATATTAAAACTATTTCGCCTTATATTCTTACTATCCTAAATTAATTTAGGGTGTACTTGCTGCCGATATGAAGGAATAATTCGAAATGTTTTAACTGTAACCCCATAAGCTACGGTCATCACACGATTTCGACGCCTAATACAAATAGCCCAGTTTGGCTATTAATAGCCAAATCTACTTACCCTGTGACGGTACGGGTAAAAGAAGGGCAGTTTATTGAAGCCCTTGGGCTACAAAGAGCCCCCAGGGTCTCAATATTTCATATGGTTGAGCACAACTGTTTGATTTTGCTGGAATATTAGGCCTAATGAGCTACTAGACCTTTTCCTACAATGTTACGGATGCGGATGACAAACGTGAAGAGTATGCATAGGTCATGTCCTTCTTTTTATGTGTAAAAGTAAATGCAGGACACTTACATCGTAAACTTAGCCGGAGGTAATTAAGACAATATTTCCTAAATAAGCTGCCGTGGCCACGCCTCTAATTTATTATTTGTAAACTTGAATTCGGTCTGTTATAACAAATTTTTCTCATTATGGACGTTTTTGCTAGATATCAGAGTTCTTCGAGCGTCCACACATAGCAGTAAATTGATATTTCTTGTCTAATTTAAAGTCCGCGTTCGTGTGTCTCTACTAACATCTTCAGACAGATGTTAATTTTTCGTAGACTTAGATCAACTGGCTATCTCAAATAATCATCTGTGCATGTTGCCATATGTCTACTAGCGATGGTTAGGACCCCGCTTATGAAGCCTTTCTCTTGTTCTCTATTACTAACAATAGTGGTCGCAAGGGAAGCTAAATGATTTATTCATTTATTGTCTTGCTATGTTTGTCAACTAGGTAATCCTCTACGCCATATGTGTAGGTAAAATATGAGAACATTTGGACGGTGGTATTTTTCATTTATTTTAGGAACTGCGCTAGTATCCTATCTTCCTTTAAAAATCGTCCTAATAAATATGGAGCGAGCCACTGCAAACGTGTTTTTGCTTCATGTGAACCCATTTCAACTTTGTGTTTAGATCGTATTCACAGAGGAGTAAGTACGTAAAAATGCGGGGCGCGTCATTATGATCTAGTTCAGATTAGATTCAGCAGAAAGAAACAAAAAGCAGCATAGAGTTCTGCTTGCGTGCTCAGCTATGGAATCGACTGCCGCATAGTAATAATGAATGTCGTTCTTTAAAAAAAACTAATGAGCTGCTGGGTAGATGTATATGTAATACAAGAAAAAGTATTGTGTGACAGCTTCTTCACCAAACGGTAACACCCTGGGGACTGTTCCTGTTGGGTGCAATAAACTTATGAGACTGTAGTTTACATAGTACAAGCATTTATGAATTTTTATTTCTAAACCTAACGTTCAAGCCGAAGACAATTTGCTTAAACAGAAACAGATTAAAAAAAAAAACATGAATGTTTATTGTGCACACTGCCCTTAAACATTCAATGTATCTTGATATTAAAACTTGCGTGAACAGTTTTAACAAGGGCTTGTCCTGTCGAAGATGTGAGTGTTTTCAACGTGCTATTTTCCACTGAAGTTGAATTCAAGTTTTTTGGGGGGCATTTTTAGTAGACCTGAAGCAGTGGCGTAGGCTTAAGAATCGCGTTAAATAGACCATAATGTTTTTAACCCGAGTCTGGGGCAGAAGGAGGAAACTTTTTATAGTGGAAGAGAAAGTAACAGGAATGTACAATGCCTCTAAATCAGCAAATATTTTATTCAACCAACCGCCTTATATAGAAAACTACCACCACCACAAAACCATCGATATCCTGTTTTTAGGGTCGCTCGCATAACCTTCCCCCACATCACAAAAGAAATATATGTGAGGCCACCCACAAAGCATAACCACCGTCAAGTTTAGTCGAAAAGCTTCCAGACAGCTAAAGGTCACAAAACAAAGTAAGCAATGCTTTTGAACTACAACACACATACACACACAGGGATACCTTTGGTTGGTTCAGACGAAAAGCTTCGAAACTCCTATCTCAAAAGACCACACTACCAAAAAATAAGAACCTTTTTAACCGTGGCACGCAGCCAAGGTTCCACCCTTAAAGCAGCATCTGCAGCTCTGAATCTACACATCTATATACTTTTGCTGTGTGTCACGGTTAAAACGTTTTTTTTTAGAGGGGTCTTCGGAAAACGTAGTTCACAAGCTTTACCTCTAAACTAACCAAAGGTATAACTGTGTGTGTGTGTGTGTGGGGGGGGGGGGGGGGCGGGGGGGGGGGAGGGGTATTTAGCTCAAAAATATTGCATATGTTTGTGGCCTCTAGCTGTCAAGAATGTTTTTGTCTAAACCGAGAGGTTTAGGGGGACTCAGTTTGTTTCGTGATGTGGTTGAAGGTTGAGCGCGCGACTATAAAAACAGGCTGTTAGGTGGTTTTGCGGCGCTTTTAGTTATGTATATAAAGAGGTTGGCTGAATAAAATTATTAGCTGTGTTAGAGACTTCGTCTGTCCCTCTTACTTTCTCTTCCATAGTAAAACAAGGTCGTCCTTCTGTCCCAGTCTTGGGTTAAAATCATCATGGTTAACGTATATTAGCTCGCTTTCCCATTGACCGTAATTACGTCAAATGTGCCTGCATAAAGCAGAGCCTTAACGTAAAATCGCAGCTAGCAGCTTGTTTTGACAGCATAAGTAGGGTTTTTGAAACAAATTAAAACCTTCAAATATTGGGCGTGAGACGCTCCTAATGTTTATTGGAATCGCAAAATACAGTCGTGACTACATTCAAATGTAGCTTTTATAACGTTATTGATTCAGCCTTATCGGTGCTACAAATAAGACCGATTTCATCACCACCAGTAACTACATTCCAATGTTCAGCATGTTTCCCTAGTGAAAGTGTTTTACGAATTGGTTCACTAAGCATATTCAAGCTCACAAAATTACATAAAAACTTATGCTATGTGCCTATATAATTTACATGAGTTCTGATATGTCTATTCCAAGAATCATATGTGATTTATTTTACTCTTTTAGGAGGGTTACGCAGTCGCTATGAAACATAGTATTTAAAAGCTTTGCCGTTTTAATTGAGCATATGCGGTGCAAATATTGATACGAATTTTCCTTTAGCGAACTGCCTTTCATTGGCGTAGTAGCTCTATTAAACGTTATAAAGTTTTCTTACCCCCAAATTGATGCACTGCAGAAAGAGCTCAAATAATGATGCCTGTCCTTGCAGCATGCAGTCTATTATGCGCCAAGTAACTGAACGAGTGAGATAGAGAGAAGGAGGCAAAAGCGCGCAGTGACGTCAGAACGCCGAGCTGTCAGAATGCTTAGTGCGTTAGCCTAAAGCTAGCTACCAATGTCTCTAATGCACTTGTCGAACATGTGAGAGCGCATAACTCCGCGTCCGGCGTTCAGCTTTCGCATTCGAGCGCGTTAGAACCCGGAAGGCCGGCGTTTTGCGTTTGGCACCCGCACTCAAATGCGTTTTCCCAGTGTAGTGGCATAGACTTCTATATACTGACAAGGCCTGGCAGATCGCCACGAAAAGCGGCCGCCGAAATTGAAAAGGTAGCGCGGCAGACAACGGATGAGAAGAGAGCCACGTGACGGGCGCCCCACTGTGGCGAGTCGCCGAAACACACTTCTCCTGAGAGATGGAATCTCCGCCCGTGCTCCTCTCGTTCCTCGCGCTACCGCTTTTTTTCTCGTCGGGTTTTGAATGCCATATTTCGTGTCCTCCACGCTGCAAAAGCTGTGCGCTGACGTCCAGGTTCCCCGAGAAATGCTCTCTGCTACCACATCCTCGCGCTCCAAGTCTGCGACGGGGCACTCTAAGGTTCCGTCGTCGAACTGCCATGCTTAGTAAGTATAGAGGCAGCTGTGGCAGTGGAAATAGAGGCAGTTAGCATTAGGGTCTACTCAAAACGTTCGAACCAGAGCTCAGGTTTCTGATGTTCCCGCGCTAGCTATGCCTCATCTCCCTCAGTTTCTTGGCTCATCACCTAACCCGGTTGAATATTGCCTCGATTAATACCATTTGATGATCAGACTCAGCATTTTTATTGTGTAACCCTAGCTTCAACAACACTTTATATATCATGACCCAGTAAGTATATTTTCAATCCCATGACAAAGGCCGGCAGAAGTGCCACGTTAATTAGGAGGCTGTGATTTCAATCTGTAATTATGCATTCTGCCGCACCCGTCACCCGCGTTGTGTTCCATTTTAAACAGCTCTGATTGAAGGAATGACTAATGTTGGTGTCTTACAGCTAGATATCAGAATCCAGTGCACACCGTTTCGTCCACACTGGCAGCAGTCTTTTTAGGGCCCCTTTGAAGCAAATCATATTCACCCATATGACCCTTATCCCACAATATCACATGAAATAATCATAGGCAATGTTATGCGTATTTTTAAATAAAAACAAATGCAAAAGACCATGCAAAGTGTGCTACGGTTAACAGTGAGTGGAAACGAGGGGAAAAGGGAGAACAGTGTCTCTGCTGCAGAGTGCGGCCTTGCGTTCATACATATGCTTTTTTTTTTTCCTATAAGGGGCCTAACAACTACCACTGCCAAAGCCACAGAGGTAAATTTTGGTTGGGCATGACCGTCTACAATACTTCCTTGATCATATGGCACATCAATGACATTTCCTTGTTCAATGGAAGCAGGGCACTTGTGAGAATTGATATCAATATTCTTGTCAGGATCAACGCTGCACGACGACGCAGACAACCGAGTTAGCGAGGATTACGGTTGAGGCGCCATCTCCCAGAATAACGTACAAAAAGCAAATAATTGTGTAGTCCGCCTTGATTGAAAGTGTCGTCTTATTGCTGCGCCAATATAAAAATGGCGCCACAAGCGCAGCCTTCGCTAGCCATGTTACTCGAGCAAGCTCAGTTTCACAGCTCCGCCTGCGACGTGGGCTCAGTGGCGGTCACGAGAACTAGCAGCGCTGCAGTATCCATACCAACCCGCTCGTTCTGTCCCTAAGTCGAGTCTTCCTTCCGGATTGTCTAGCCCGCCAAGTTTGAATAGCAATACTTGAGCTTGGGCGAGTTGGTGACGCATAATAACACTTCACAGCGCAAGGCAAAAGACGCACACATAAAAAAATTTCAAACACTCAAAGAACACTCACAATGCGCTGACTCTGATCTTTGTGGTGTATTACACTTCATCTTCATCATCTTTTTTTTTTTTTTGGCTATTATACAGATGGAAGTAAAAAAAAGGAAGAAAAGAAAAAGAAAAGGAAGCTCTCAACGCAGTGGTAGCAGACAATGCGCGAGATAGGAAAGCAAGATCTGACTGCAGCGCCGCTAGTTCCCGTGACCGCCACCTCGGCCACTCGCCTCTGCAGGCGAGAATAGGGAGCCACGAAACTGAGCTTGCTCCAGTAACGTTGTCGCTAGGTCGGCATTCCTCCTTGTCGTCCTCTGGTAATCATGGCAAAGAGGTTGACTTTATTTTTATGAAGAATAGCTACGCCTTCCAAATTATGCAAGGTGGAATGGATCACTAAAGTTTGATAAAATGTAGAGACGACTACATGTAAGCGCCAATTTTTCCGGTCAGTTTTATGGGGTGTTTGGGGATTTTAAGCATCTTATATGGAGTACTTGAAAGGCCGAGGCTCTATCTAAAACGGGCCGTCAAAATGGGCACCTGCACTTAGCAATATAAACTTTTCGTCTAAGCTGTATTTTACAGGTGCGTTCGAGCTATTTGCCACACACGCTGCGCAAAAAATAATAGACAAAAATAAAAAACCCAGGGTCAACGGGGGACGGCGACGCAGACGACAAACTCCAGAGGCGGGTCTCGTTTGGCGCATGTATTGATAGATGGCGCAACTTGTGTAGCCGACCAGCGAAAAAGAGCAGACCACGCGCAAACAACATGTGTCGGCAGCGAGAGCGCCGTCTTTGTGCAACCGTGTTTTCTTCTATATTTTTGCCACGAGTTTTGCTATCATTGTCCGTATTTGTTTTTAAACCAAAGCTTACAAAATCACTGTGTTTATTTTAGAGACCAGGGTCGTCGCGGGCAGTCTCGATATATATATATATATATCGAGAAAAACTCGATATATATATATCGAGAAAAACAAAAACTGGCTCCGCCAATTTTTGGCTTTCGGCGGGTTCCTGGAAACTTTGATTCTTTGATTCATTGGATTAAGTACGGTTCATTCATCTGCACATATTTGTTCATATATATATATATATATATATATATATATATATATATATATATTAAATCAAGCCGGAACTAGTTTTTTTTATGTAGGGAGTATTCACTGGCGGGCCATAGCTGTGTGCGCAAATGCTGAGCGAGCGCTGAGGGCGAGCTTCCACAGTTTTTTTGCAACGTGCATTCCGCACCATCAAGAGTGCCGGTCTTAGCAGCCTATTGATGTCAGCTCGTTCTGAGCATGCGGTCTAAACAACACCCACAAATATGGCGTCCAGTGAATACTCCCTATAGACTCGCTGCTGGAGCCAAAGTTGCGCGTTCATCGTCGGCGGGTGCCCGTAGCACCCATTTCCTGCACGGCCAGAAATTCTTTGTTCGTCACGTGACTGAATTTGGCGAATAGCGGCGCCGCACGCGCCGCCGCGCAATAAAAACTGGAAAGGAGGAGAAGGAGGCACAAGCAGGGGGACATACGCCGGGGCGCGTGCAACGCCGGCGAAGCGACCGTAACAGTAGCTTTCCTACACGGTGAAAAAATTATTGAGTTGTAGCATAACGTACGTAATTTTAGCGCACGCTAGAGCTAAATTTTGCTCTTGCGTTAGCGTACACGACGCATGAGAGTCTTAGAATAGCGCTTCGCCGCGACACAAAAGCCCAAGCATCTCGCGCTTGCAACGCCATCAAGATACGGTCACCACTTTTATTTCAGACATGAAATGCTGTAACTTGAGAAAAAAATAAGCTTTTTCTGGAACGGAGTAAAATTTTCGATTTGTTTAAACTGGAGAATTCGACACGAGCGGTCGACCGGTCGTGTCCGAATGCGTCGCCTCGGCAAGAGAGGTCTCGTGTACTGACCTTCGCCGATAAATGTTCGCGCGTCGCAAGCCTAAAGTTCACGGTGATCGTTGCCCACCTTACTGGGTTTTCCGAACCGAGTGCAATGTCGTCCCGTATTGAAGATCGCAGTCGCGAGGACGCCCTCGACGTCGCGCTCACGACGCCGTCAAAGCTGCCACAGCCATGGTCATGGAGCCGCCATTTTTTAAACTGTGCTCGTCTTGGCTTTAGCCAACTTATCCTCACGAATTCTCCTTGGAGGAGAGCACAGACTCTTTGCGTACGCACGCAATTTCCGAGAAATTTCGCACGCTAAAACAGTGCACGCGGAGCGCAAAACGTGGTTAGCGTTCGGCGCATGCGCAGTGGCAATGACGCTATTCTTTGCGTACGCAAAGCTTTAGCGTGTGCTATTCTAGAACTCCCTATTCTCTGCTTCTCACGTAATCGATCTCGGTGATATAGCGGCGCAACAACACGTGGGAAAAAGTCACGCAACTCTGGCTCCCCTGTGGAGCCTAACCGCTCATTCACAGTGGAAGCGGATCCGCGTTCGCAAAGCGGTTGCGAGCGCGGTTGTATAAAGATCCAGTACAATTGCACGTGCATGCACTCGATGTCATCGAGTGCGCGTGCAGTCGTACTGGATCTTTATACAACCGCGTTCGCAACCGCTTTGCGAAAGCGGATCCGCTTCTAGTGTGAATGAGCGGTAAGAGTCATTCTAGCCGGAACTGAAACCCCACTCTTCTGGGAAAAGTAGAGCCATTCCTTGTAGAGGAAATGCTCGAAACACGTGCGGCGCGCCGCTTCAGGGAAAAACATGGCATCTGAAAGCCAGCTCAGTGATGCGCTGTGCCGCCATGATCTTCTCGAAAGCTGTACGTTTCACGTGCCTCCTGTATCGACGCACCTTGCGCTACTTTGGAAACATGAAGGGGCTCTAGCCTAAACAAGAAGGTCGCGCCATCTACAAACAGTGCGCCGAAAGCTGCCCGCCATTTGACTCGATCGTGTGCGTCTCCGTCCGCCGATGACATTCGCAAGTCTTTTGGCCCCAATGGTCACAGAAAGGGACCCACGCCTGGTAATTTTACAAGGTAAAACGCCCCTGCAAATTGCAGCTTTTACGAAAAGTTTACATCGCTATGCGTATTCGGCGACATCCTATACATTGCGAAGAGAACTATCGAAGAAAATGACTTTCTGAGACTGTCCGATATTGTTGTTCTGACTTTTTTTTTTTCTTTTGCTGTAAAGACTGCCGAGGTAACCCTCTGATACTTTAAAACTTCGGTAGATTGTAATTTATTTAATTTTGTACAGAAATTGCTACAAACACGTACTAGACTAGGTGTGTAGCATCAAGACTCCGGCGCAAGCGCACAAAAGAGAAAGAGATAGATAGGAAGAGAGCTGGGCCGGGGTTGCGGAAAGGTTGAATAAAAGGCCTTACCCCTGTGTTGGCAAGCAGTTGTATTGCAAACATTACTACTTGCAGCTGCATTAATCCCGGTCTCTGTAAAAAAAAAAAAGCAAACGAATTGGCATTTACGATGGATATTTTTGTATTAAGCTATAAAATATACATAATAAATCTAAAACTTTATTTTATCCTTTATGCGGGCTTGGCAGCTATAGCCACTAGAAGTTTAAGAAGAGCAGGGCGTGGCTCATTTTCACGCTGTTTTCACGATGAATCGTACCATGAAGTTCTCGATTGCGCAATCGTATGACAGCCGAGTTACAATCGGATGCCAACGGCTCGTCACGCCTCTGTTTCCTGAGCCGCCGGTAACTGTATTCGTATGGCATATGTTTTCTGAAACAATAGCGTACCTTTCGCCTGCCCCCTCTTCCTTTCTGCCCCACAAAAACTCCTGCTCTCTTCTTTCGTGTTGTCGTGTGTACGGGTCGCCAAACACACGAACACTCTAAATCTGGTCTTCACCGTACTGCGAAACCCTTTATTTTCGTGTCCCCTACTTTTCGGAAACGGGTCGTAGAGGACATAATCGCGGCCATTAAATTTCGCGAATTCCTGAAGCCTGCATTGAATTTCGCGAATTTTTCAATTCGCGAAATTCGCGAAAATTAAGGGCTCGCAAGCATTAACGCTGTCACAGTATATCCTAGATGAGTTAAAAGAAACGGTGGATTGGGCTAATTATAGTGTTCGACCTGGAGGCCCCAACGACACCTATACAGAGGAGCACGCATTGGCAATGTGTCGGTCCCAAATCAGCTTTTTAGTGATTTGGCTGATATTTTATCAATATTTGTAACATATATTTCACAAATACATTTCTTATTACCGGTCACTTAGAGGGCGAGGCAAAATATGTCATTTAGAAATAATATCGTTGGTGCTCAGTTATGAAAGCCGAAATTCCATACTTATAATAACCAATGACGACAGACAACACAACCTTTTTAGGGGTTGAGCTACGTAATCGCACCCATCCGTACACCAATATGTTTATTTTTCTACTTTACGTCATGCTAAAAAAAAAAATTAAAACCATGAAATCGGAAAACAGAAATGAAACCACAGGTACGTTGTACGACTCATGGGTAAAAATATTTTTGCAGTATACGTTCTCGGGCGTGACCTCCCCCCCCCCCCCCCCCCCCTCCCCCGGGAAAGTGCAACAAACAACAAGACGCATAAAAGTTACGCCACTGACTTGAATCCTCCAAATATGTTGGGCGCCGTCAAATTCAGGGAATTCTGTTGACACTTTGTGAAAAATTGTGGGAAGAGCTCTACCTATGAGTCATTTTCAGGCATAATCATGGCAGCATGCTTTACGGTAATGGGACAAAAACTGAAATATATTTTTGAATTTCAAAATATATATCTACACTGTTTTACGCTGTTCATTGAGCTAGTGAACTCTATGCTAACTTTCTTGTTAGACCACGCATATCCTCATTGGGGATAAGAAAACCTTGTCTGCTATTCAAGTAGCGCATAAAAAAAAATGTGAAAATAATTTGATGGCACAATTTTCTTCTTTTTTTTGTATCAAGGGATTGCCCTGGTATAATTGTTTAACGCGTATTCACAAATACTGAGATAGCAATTACAAACGTACATTTGAGACAAATAACCACATTCTGTTTGGGGCTGGGAGGATATTCATCAGGAAAAAAAATATCCAAATGTACACATACAAGTTTCATTTAACGTAAAGGTGTCTAAACTGCAACAACAAAAAAAAAACTAACTGCTAGGTAAATTTTGAAAAGTAAGATCAGAAGAACGCAATGCTTTGTACTCTTTATTAATACAGTATAACACCTTGAAGATTGCTCTAACTTAGTGAGATAAACTTAATAAAAAAATTGTTGATACACGGTACAGACATTAAGGAAATTAAATATTTAAAGATAAGATTCAATGCAAAAACAAGTGATTTCAGGAAGAAATAGTTGCAGAAGACAATGATGTTTACACTGCACATCACCCCCTGGAATGAAAGTCGCTTATAGTTCAAACCTGAGCAGTGCGCACGTACAGGCAGTTAGTCCGGTGAAAGATGTGAGTGCTGGCGACCTGTTGTCATATTAGACAGAAATTTCAGTTAGAGCTAGCGCTTGACCTTTTTATTAGCATGTGACGCAGCGACAAACTGAAAGGTCGTGTCACATTTGTTTGAGTAAGAAAGAGCTGTTCAGGACATCATAGTTGACAGTGCAAATCACAGTTTGAAATCAGTGTCTCTTGAAGTTCAAACTTGAGTAGTGTGCACGCGCAGGCGGTTTTTCTGGTGAGTGACGTGACTGTGTTGGCGACCCGTCGCCACCTCGCATGAAAAGTTTAGCTCGAGTTTCCGCTTGACCTGTTTACCGGCGTGTGACGCAGCGACAGTGACTGAATTGTCGTGTCAAATAAGTCTGAGCAAAAAATAGTTCAACAAGACATTAATGTTGACTGTGCACACCTTAAAATCAGAGTCTCTCAAACTTCAAACATGAGAAGTGTGGACGTGCAGGCGATTTGTCCGTTGAATGATGTGACAGTGTTGGCGACATGTTGTCATCCTGCACGGAAAGTTGAGATCGAGTCTGCGCTTGGCCTTTCTATTAGCATGTGACGCAGTGGCAGAGACTGAAGAGTGGCGCCAAATTAATAATGTATAGTACACAACTTTAAGCTAAGAATGCAGCTACCGCATTTCGTTTTGCCAACAGGTTTTTTTAACGCAGATTCAATGCGTCCAATATAACTCATGCGGTGCACTGAGGCTTTCTTTGAATTCAAATATAGAGTCCAAATTAATTTGAAATGCGAACTCTAATTATCTGATCTGCTAAGATTCACTGTTGCTTTCAATATTCGCTATTAAATCGATACTTTTATTAATTTAAATCATTAAATAAATTAATTAATTAGAAAATTAAATATAATATAATAATTTAAAGTAATAAATTAAAAAAATAATAACCGTCAGTATTAAAAAAATAATGCTGCCGGTTAGCAAACGCTTTAATGTTTGCTAACCGACAGTATAGGTGTTTACGTATCATTCAAAACTAATTCTGTTTTAATTGAGCCTATACATTTCTTCTGGGTGAATTAGTAATTGTGGCGTAATTCTTCTATTACAATTATGCTCTATCAGTCAAAATTTGTACACTGCAGAGAGAGCCCGAATAATGCTGACTGTCCTTGTACCATTGACTAGATTTATGTTGGGCGCCAAACATTTGTTACGGTTGCGTATCCGCAGTATTAATAACATGGCAATCATCGCGGCTCGGCAAGTCTCTTCTCAACCACATTACACATGCTGGTCGAAACACCGCGCAACAGAGGCTGATATTCCAATCGAAAATGGCACCTTTGCCCCCCCCCCCCCCTCCCCACCCTCCCTTGCATAGTACTCATTCGATAAATGCACGTTTGCTTGTTGCAGCTAAATATCAAAATAACGCGCTCACATTTTCGTGCCTACAGGCGCCCGGGCAGCATAGGGAGGACAGTTTTGAAGACGACCCCACACCTCAAGAATTCATATTTGATGATGCCATATTGATTAACAATATGGCACATTTCTATGAACTTTACTCAGTAATGAACGCACAAGTCAATTTGAAAGTTTTGCCAGGTTCTCTAGCATAATTTGCCTGTACGACAGCGCACTGGTGGCATTGTGTTCTTCAACCTCTCTTAAATATTTTTCAATGACCACTATGTTGACTAAATAGATGTGTTGTATACGGGCGACAATAATTCTATATACCTTATTTCTATAGCCCGTCCGTGCCATATTAAAGATTGTCTTTAACCCCTTCACATTATGAAGTCTGTTGATAAAACTACTTAACTTCAAAACATGTTCTCATTTTTTTTTTCGCAGTATCATATTATATGTGCCGTATGGGCGAATATGTTTTTGCTTGTTTTTTTATGTAGGAGAGGGTGGAGGATCAAATACACTGCAGTGGCGCCACCAGAAATGCTGAGGACGGTATCCTGAAAGAGTTGTGACATAACCAACCAAAAATTAAGAAACCAAAAAATAAAAATGAGATGACACTTCAGTTAAAGACGCGTTCCCGAAATCGTATCCTGCACATTTTACTGCTGCCCTGTTATCATGAGCATTACAGTTGCCATAGAGAAGCTCCAACCAAGCGCTGACTGCGATAACCACGGTAAAATTAAGTATATATAATTATTACCCATTGTTAAAGAATGTACTTCTCGGGCATTTTCTGAGCGGCATTCAATAAAGGAGGTTTCGGTTTTTTTAACGGATATTACGTGTCTTGAACACAACACACGCACGTACTAAAGAAAAGTATGTTGGCTATCTAAAAAAAATGAACAGAAGAGATGCTTAAGATGCGAAGGTACAAAACAGAAGTGACTGCAGAAAAGTTTATAATGGCAAGGGAAATTATAAGGACATCCTGCCACGCAAAATAAAAATAAAGCAAGGTTAGCAATCCAGGACACCGATGTTACGTTCAATATTCGATTTTTAAACCAATTTCATTATAAACACGCTGGTTTGTTTGCATCTTCGAAATCCATTTAAAACACCATGTGCAAACTGAAGTGTCAACATTCAAAAACTTTTTTTTATTATACTTAGGCACCTTTTGGTATTCGACGGTGCGCAAGTATACTTAGTCTATTACTATAACTGAACTTTAAGCGCGCTTTAATTTCAATTTAAATTCGTTTAAAGCGGACCGAACCTCGACCTCGGACCTCGACGGGCACCTTGCGGTGTTTACCGTCGGGGGCCGTGGCAATGTGGAACGTTGCCGGTTGCTGGAGGACAGGTCGTCAGTGGCGGGGACTCGGGAAAGGGACGGCCTAAAGGTTTTAAGTCCGGCTAAAACTAAAAAAAAATGCTTTTATTGAGTGCAATGAAACCGAGAGCCCCTTGCAACAACAACTGACCGCTTCAAAGCTCAGGGCTGCCTGGACTGCACCGCCTCGTTCGTAAGCTCTTGCTTCTGTCCGTCTGCATGGTGGCTTGTGCAGGTCAGCGCCTCCCCAGTTTCTACCGATATGTGTTTTTCTGAGCAATCCGCCTCAGCTGCAAGAGTGATATGTGCTAACTCGAGTGTGCGAATTAATTATTAACATGGACGGTTGGCCTTAAACAACACTCGTCCCCTCTATTCCTCCCCTATCCTTCTAAAGTAATAAACTTAGTACAGAAAATTATGACTGAACATGCTTAATAAACCGGCAGGAGCGCGGGACTCTATCATGATCAAAGGCCAAACGATATTGTCAAGATGCCAATAAATTTAGGGGGAAACAAACCTGTGTTTGTTTCTCCCTGGATTTCTCCCTGCATGAGTCTCGAGTAGTACCGGCTAGATGTCCACAGCTATACAGTGACGTCCCGATAGGAAATACTTCGTCACTCTCAGTTAATTCAAAATTTAATCTGAGTTAAATAATGAAATGAAAAGCTTCCGGTAGGTGGCACAAGCTGCTGCCCGATTGAAAGGGTTCACCCCTATCTATCCATCCAATATCGTCTAGTAGAAGGGCCTGCGCATTACGTCATTGTTAGTGGAGCACTAGTGGATCCCTGAGCGGCCCCAACCGGCAAACGCGCTGGAGCTCGACAACAGTACGGCGCAGCGTTGCCGCCTGCTAGCGTCGATCTTGCTTGTTAGGCGCTGAAAGGCGCTCTGGTGCTCTGTCGGGTCTCGCCGTTCCTTGGAGAGAAAACTAGGTCGTGCATACTCGTGAGAGCGGAGCCAGTCGGGCCAACAACTTCGCCGTGGCGTGTAGCAGCTATCGCGGTGTGACCCTACTGTGGATTAACATAGGACAGCTTTTTTTTTTTTTTGCGGAGTGTGATGAGAATGGAAGGAAACTAAACATTGACGATACAACGATTTTCGCAGGTTCCACAATGTTATCCAAGAAAGTACTTGTGGTATACTTTAACTCACGCACAAATATCGAGTATATTGTTGTGTGCAAGTTTAGATGGCGAAAGGTCACTGCCCCAAGGGGCGTCGAGCGTCTTTTCTGTACAGTGCGACTGCTAGCCTGGTATTTTGTATGATGCTCACCTAGGCAGAAAGTAGCGGGGGTCGGTATAGAGCGCAATAGTATTGGTTTCTGATTTTGAGCTGCAGGGCGAAAGCACCAATGCTAGTATACTCTGCTACTAGTCCCCGGTGAAGTCCCTTGATGCCTAATTTTACAAGTAGAGACAACCAAACGAATGACGAAGCGCATTCCGTCGGAACGAAATGGCGCCACTAATTTCACCCTTGTGTTGTGCGCCACCATTCGCTTCCTAAAATCTGCCCCGTCGCGTAGTCGGCACTTCAAAGAATGTTGCTGCTTGTACGAACTTCTTATCTAGGAACTTTAGTCCACGGACGCAACGTAAACACATATATCGGTACACTAACGATATTCACGACGCGCACAAGCAAGCTGTGGTGCGTGCTTGGCATCATTACATGACAAGACAAACCGAAATGAAAAAGATAATTTGAAGATTGATTTGGTCAAATCAATCGTCAAATCAATCAATGATATGCCGCGTTCCCCTTCCCTCCAACCTTCTAGCCTCTGGTTTCTTGTTCGTAAAAGAGTATGTCTCTTGTTTCGTCGCGACTAATTCTATCAGCGGCACTTTTTAACCCGATTAATTTTTCCCTTCTTCTTCCATCCTCGTGTCGTGCACTGGCTTGTGGATTATGTTTTTGGAGTTCGATAAGTTTAATCGTGAGTAGGCAGACTTTGCAAGAGGTTTTTGGCGAGAAGCCGAGCGCGCTTGGGGTCGTTCCTTCTACTTCTGTTAACACGACCTAAAGTTCACTGTTTACGACGGACTAGGCTTGTCTGCTAATTTTTATCCTTCAGTATTATAAATATATTTGAGTAAAGATAATGTAGTTGTCAAACTTGTTGCTTTGTTTGAATTAATTCACATGGTGACCCTTTCTCCTAGCCAGTTCACATTGTATGCGCACATTTAGATGGGATTTTTGAACTTGCGACGTGATGCAAGTATCAGAAACGGAAGCTTTAAAGCTCGGCGGCAAAATACTGGAATGTTGTCGACAAACTTATGACATCAGAAAGTTTTACTGTATGTTTTTCGTCATCGTCGCGTTTTCATATAGCTCTTCTCCTTAACATATCGGAAATGATGCAAGCGCGAGCAACCTCTTTTTAGTACGCGTCGTAACTTCGCATCGCTTTTATTTCATTTTCGGGGAGCTGGTTGCACGAATGCGAAACAGTCGTGATCCCGAACCTTATGTAGTCCTAGTTACAGGCACTTCGGTATTTTTGAAGTGAATTGAATGTGTGCATCTTATAATGATCTGCATTCAGAGTATAAGTGAGCTATACTATGTTTCACACTTGGTGTACAAGGCTGTCAAGGCTACTAACTTGAGCGTGTGCATCTGAAAGAATAAATAAATACACCCGTTCGCACCAGCAGCTTTATCAGCGTCGTACTGATAAATTAAACGTCGGGCGCCCGCAGCTTTGACCGCGCTTGATTTTTTGTCTTCTTGTGTATGGCGTACTTTGTGTCCCATACAAAAATGTCCTATGGTCGGCTATAGAAAATTCTTTGTATGGTCGGCTTTAGCTATTTGGCCCAATTAGCTAAAGAATTTTCTATGGCTGTCTTTAGCATTTCTTATGGTCGCCTTTATGGGGCTCTTTAGCTTTGTCTATGGCCTTATCGCTGTCCAGCCATAGCGCTCTTTAGCTTTTCTAATGGTTGGCTAAAGACTTCTCTATGGCTTATCCTATGGCTCTCTTTAGCCAGCAAACTCTAAAAAAATTTACTTCAAGTTCCCCAAACTTGTGAACGCTACATACATATCTGAACACACAGAGTACACACAACACAAGCAGAACACTACCCCACAGAACAGCAACAACGCAGCAACACCGAACTGCCATTTATACATTTAGTACGAACGTATGCTATGTTCGCACTAGCTGTATATATAGCAGTCTAATTTTTGAATCCGACTTTCCCGGTGACCCATCATTTGTCTCAAAAACACAGAGAGGCGGAGCAAATATTAGTCGTACTTAATACATTATTTGAATTGTCTCTTGGAATAGCCCCCATCTCTTAATTCGACACCCTGAAAAAAGCAAATGTAGATCATTAGGCTAATTAACTAAAATTTATTGATTATCTTTTTAATAAGTTTGATGAATCACGTTGACAATGCAGTGATGACATGCAGTACACTGGTGCTGAAGATTCCAATCAAGCTATTG